CCCCGTGCTCTCGGCGCCGGCATGTGTTAAAGGAGATGCTGTTGGAGCTGCTGGTCCTGAGGGCTGCCGTGAGATGATTTAGGGGAGGGGGAGGCTCAGCTGGGGGCCCTGGATGAGCTCCGTGGGGTTTTTTTTCTTTTTTTTTGTTTACAGCCTGCGAGTTAATTTATTCCTGGGTTTGCTTACAACAGGGGTGAGGGTGCGTACACAGAGGAGCAAATCCATTAAGGGGCTTGATAGATGGGGGAGCGGGCGCTCCCCTTGTAGTAGGTACAGTAAAAGCAGCAGGAGCTGTTCCAGGGATGCCATACGGCGCTGCGGGAGTGCCTGCACGGCCAGGGCTCGCTCAGGAACAAGATTTTTGGCTCCTCTGTCACAAGCCATGGTGGTGCTGGGCATGGGGCAGGAAACTCTGCTGGGCTGCAAGGGTGGCCTTTGTCAGCTGAGAGCTTCTGGTGCCCCTGTGTCTCTCGCTGGAGGTTGTTTTAGGGTTTCCAGTCTCTTCTTTTGAGGGAACGGGCTCCTAGAGACCCTGTCTTGGCACTGGAGACTTTTTCCTCACTTGGCACAGAGCTACTAAAGTCATTGAGGTGGCTCTTGTTTCACAAGAGCTGTTCTAAGCCAGCGCTGTGCCTGTCCAACTGCAGATCTCTTGGGTGCAGGGCAGGAAGAAGACACAGATCTGGTTTTGTGTAGGTCAGACTGCTGCCAGGTTCCCCGTGAGTGTTGCTTGGTGATGGGCACCCACAGAGCGTGGTTCCTGTGCTGGGCAGGGCCTTGTGTGCACAGCTGGGGTCTGCACACAGCTGGATGGAGCTGCTAGTTGTGGCCCTTGACTGAAGTGGCATTAGATCTGATGAGATACATTGAAGAGAAACACCTTTGACTGGTTGAAAGGGCCTCTTTGCCTTTCCAAGGAGAGCCCGTTGCCGCCCATCACCCTGGGCAGCTCAGGATGGTGTGATGGTTACCGGAGCGGGTAGATCCTAGGATTTTCAGATCAGACCTCCTGAGGATGTCTAAAAGGGGCACCTGTACTTAGGTTTGGGTGCTCCTCCACATTGAACCAGTAGGACTGTGAAGGGATGTCAGGCCCTGGAACCGCAGCCTCTACAAACTGTCCTGCTCGTGTGGGAGAGACAATGCAAAATCGGTGATGTATATGCATGTTTCTGCTGTAAGGTGCTCCAGCCCTTCCTTGCGAAGGGGGAGGAAACCATGAAGGACGCCGAGATGCTGGCAGTACTGGTCTCTAGCTGCCTAGGGATTCCTGGGCTGCTTTGTTGGAGATGTTTGCATCCAGTGGCCTTTTGAAAACCCAGCCTTGTCCAGGGCAGCCTGAGCTAAGGCTGGACAGAGGAATATGCACCCTGCTGTGTGTGCTCTGGCAAGCCCAAATCTGCAGGCAAAGGCACTGCAGCTGCGGGGGAGTCCAGGAATTTTCCTGGGAGTCAGGGCTCGGTCTGACTAGGTTCCTGTGGTGATGGTAAAATACCTGATTCCTGTTGGTTCGATTTCAGACTACAAGGGTGCTAGGTTTGCTCATTTGATTTGAATGAGAGAAGGAGATCTCACCAGAGGTGTTTATCTGCAACCCAGCACTGCAGTTTCCCCATCCTGGGAAGCTGATGGGGTTTGTTCTTGTTTTGCCTGCTGTTAGGAAGATCTGAAGTCACCTTTGCTTGTCCCCCAGCAGCAGGTCAAAGGAGCAAGCTGCTCTGTCACAGGGCACTCATCCCTGTGTTCATCTCGCTCCCATGTCCTTGAGAGGCAGTGGACACCTCTCTCTGGAGAGCAGCTTTGCTGTGGGGTTAGATTCACTTTACCTGTGCCTGGCCTGTTTAATTGGGAGCTCTGGGCTGGAGGGTCAGGCTGGGGAAGTGTGAGACCTCCCTGTGCTTTGTGGCAGGATAATGTGTCTGGGAAAGCTGGAAACTGAACAGTCTTTGGGACTAATGGGAGCAGCTTTTCCCATTAAAAAGTCAGAGGATGCTGGCACAAATCCTCTCTCCGTCATCTTAGAGAGCAACCTTGGCTTCCCTCTGGGGTTTTGGCTGGTGGTGTGTAGGGGACTAAACCCTGGGCCAGAGACTTTGGGCATCCAAGAGCATTGCAGAGCTCTTGCTTCGAGGGAGTGGTGGGGTCTCAAGGATTCCCTCTCTTGCTGCCAGGAGCCTGGTTGCTCATCCGGGGGCAGGAGACCACTCTCTATCACTGTAGCATCATCTAGTGGCAAGGGGCACAGCGAGGTCCATCAGCTCTGGCTATGCTCTTCTGTGCTGTGCCTGGAGCCTGGGGTAACGCTTCCTGCCTCTCTCCTTGCAGGGGGTTATGAGCGTTTCTCCTCGGAGTACCCTGAATTCTGTGCAAAAACCAAGTCCCTGAGCAACGTGTCACCCCCCACCAGCGCTGAGCCCCTGGATTTGGGCTGCAGCTCCTGCGGGACCCCCCTTCATGACCAGGTATGTTTAGAAGCCCAGTGCTCAGTTGTTTTCACCAGCATTGCAGCCTGGTCCTGCTTGGAGTCTCTCTGCTCTCCCTGAGCTGAGACCAGCAGAGCCAAAGCCCTGCTCCCTTTTCTCTCATGGGAGAGCGTGGTGGTCCTTCTGATCCCAGGGCATTTGTGCTCCCTGGGGAGTTGACAAGCCCAAATCCCGTTAACCACACTTTCCCGCTCCTGAACGGGATGAAGCGGGAGGAGAAGGGGACTGAAATGGGTTTAACAGCTCAGAAAGGTAGCCTTGGCTCCCTCTTTTGAGGGCCCTGGATCAGGTGCCAGGTTCCTGCACTGCTCAGGGCCTCCAAGCCATCTGGACACGTGTCCTGCTCACTGCTGTCCCCTGGTCACCCCATATCTGTTGTTTTTTCTCTGTAACAGGGTGGCCCTGTGGAAATCCTTCCCTTCCTCTACCTTGGCAGTGCTTACCACGCTGCCCGGCGGGACATGCTTGATGCACTGGGCATCACAGCCCTGCTGAACGTCTCCTCAGACTGCCCCAACCACTTTGAGGGGCACTACCAGTACAAGTGTATCCCCGTGGAGGACAACCACAAAGCTGACATCAGCTCCTGGTTCATGGAGGCAATTGAGTTCATCGGTGAGTACCTAGGCAGAGGACCCGTGTCTGTGTGTGTTTCACCAGGGGTGGAGGTTCCTGCCTCAAAGACCTGGAGCCTTTGGCTCCAGGTGTGCAGCTGAGTCCAGGCCATTTGTTGCACGAGTGGGCGGGAGGTCAGCCACCATCTGCAGGCTTGGCGAGGGGTTGGGCTTTGTTGGAAGGGTGCTGGTCTCATGTCTCATCCCCTGTTGTCCTCCAGACTCAGTGAAGGAGTGCTGCGGCCGGGTCCTAGTCCACTGCCAGGCTGGTATCTCCCGCTCCGCCACCATCTGCTTGGCTTACCTGATGATGAAGAAGCGCGTCAAGCTGGAGGAGGCCTTTGAGTTCGTCAAGCAGCGCCGGAGCATCATCTCCCCTAACTTCAGCTTCATGGGGCAGCTGCTGCAGTTTGAGTCGCAGGTGTTGGCCACCTCGTGCGCGGTGGAAGCTGTCAGCCCCTCGGGGACACTGCGGGAGAGGGGCAAGGCCACCTCCACCCCCACCTCCCAGTTCGTCTTCAGCTTCCCAGTCTCTGTCGGTGTCCATGCCACCCCCAGCAACCTCCCATACCTGCACAGCCCCATCACCACGTCGCCCAGCTGTTAGCTCAGGGGCTGAGGCCAGCCAGGCAGATAGTGCCAGGCGTGGAGGGGGCAGGTGGGCATGGAGTCCCACCACGTTAAGCAATAGTGCCGGACACTGCCGTTCACCCTGGACTCAATGTCTTTTTCGTAGAGAAATTTCTTACCTCATCTTGTTGTGGTTTGGTTTTTTTTTTTGCTTTTTAATTTTATGTTTTGAAAGCATGAAAGTTGTAAAAAGCCACAAACCCTGACATCGTCCAGGCTCTTTGGGGGAGGAAAAGAATAGTATACTGGGTTTCCTCAAGTGCCTGGTCTTCATCTCCATCCACCCCTAATTTTATTGTCCTTTTTTTAAAAAAAGATACACCTCCCCTTCTTCCCTTATTTCTGCCTCTAGCTCGGCTGGGTTGAAAAAGGAGCATACCCTCTTTTCAGTGTGCAGCAGTCCTGCCCCTTGCACAGAGGGACACGGGTGAGTGTGGTGGGTGCTGCTCACCTGAAGTGGTTACACTGGGTGACAAGCGGGGTGGCAGGCAGGGCCTTGGGGAAAGTGGGAGTGGTGGCACGGGGCTGCCTGCAACCTCACCCCTGCCAGCACCTGGGGAGGGATGCAGGAGCTGGTGGGCACCTGCCCAGGCACCAGCTGAGCCCATTCCTGTGAAGGAGAGCAATCTCTGGCTGGGAGGTGGTTTGGAGAAGGAGATGTAGTCCTAAATGCCTCTTTTCTTGCCTCTCTGGATCTCTGGTTTCTGCAAAACTTATCTCCCATCTCCTGTGGCTTCAAGAGGAGAAAGAAAGTGTGGTGGTAGCGGTCTGGGCTTTTGATTCCTCTGATTTCCTTTCTACCCATCCCACTGCTGCTCTTCTTCCAGAGGAGCAGCATGGGACGTGGTTGGACTGCAATGGAGAGAAGCAGGCGGCTGGCCCAGGGACGGATGTCATCCATCCATCATTTCCAAACTTTCTGCATCTCGTGACCAGTGTCTACCACAGGCCAGGCTCTTTGTACAACATTCATGTGCCCTTCTCCACCTGAGCTGGGTCTCACCTGTGCAAAGCTGCTGTAGCTTTTGGTCCAAGCCTGGAACATGCCTCATCTTCAACCCACCTGGAGCCTTGCTTCCTGCCTGCCCTCTCTCCTTCCCCCCAAGTCCAGTCCAACACACAAGATGCCTCTGTGGCTGATGTACATATGTATGGTTTTGTTCCTTTTTTTTTTTTTTAGAGATTAACTTTTTATTTATTGCCTGAGGGAGGGAGAAAACAAGTTGTTTGGAGAAAATAAGAATAAAACTGTTTTCAACAGTTGTGGCTGGCATGGGTTTGTCCTAAGAATAAGACAGAATAGCAGTTGGTACGAACACTCAGCTTTCACAGAGCAACTGTTAAAAATGCATTTATTGAATTTTAAACTATTACAAGTATTGCAGATCAGACATTTAGCCAAGCACATTTATAGATCAAACTCAGTTGTTACAGAGATGTTACCTAAAATCCACCTGTAGGTAGGCTGAGAACCTGCCCATTGTCTTCTTTGAGAGAGAGGGTAAAGGAGTAAATAAATAAATGATATCCCAGCTCCAGGTAATTGGCAACCAAGAGAGGAAACATACAGGGCTAGTTATGAAAACAAGTTATACAAAAAAGGGTCTAAAAACTCAACCCCCAGGTACCAATTGCCATTTGGGTTGGCAGAGAAAGCAATTAGGAATGAAGATCCACAGGCTTACGGGACTGCGGCACAGAAAAATGCCCATTTCAATTTCCAAAGCTGAAGCAAGTTTTGCAGCTGTTAAGAAAGTGTCAAAATTACCTTGTAATACAGAGCCTCTAATCAAACTACATTAGTAATCAATGGAACCAACACTAAAACTTGCCACCAGCAGGTTCAGTAAGACAGAACTAGATGTACCAAATCCAGATAATATAACCTGTTAGTGTGACGGGAAATGCATCCTTTTCTCTTGTTCCCTACCGATTCATGGGCTCGTTCAGAAGTCTTAGCACTCACATGCTGTCCCCTGATCCTCTAGGCTTCACACCTACGATGTGTTCAGAGGTGGGAACACTGCCACTCCATCTCTGCGTGTGTCCTGCTGCTCTCTGAAAGATCCGGAGCGTGCTCTGGACAGTGCCAAAGCCACCACCTCCCATCAATGGATTCAAGCCTACAGAGGTCCACAAGCCACCTGCTACTTGTGGCTAGAATGGAATCTGTTACTTTTCCACGTCTTCCTCAGCAGAGCTGCAGCATGGCTTAAGATGACCAAAGCATGCATTGGAAGTATCACCTTTTAGATTTCTGAACTAGATTTTTCTGTGGTGAAGCACCACGGGAAGGAAGAAATCCCATTAAAAATAAATTCACACACTTCCTTACCTCCACCTTCTGAGAATGATCAGCAATGTTCAAACTAAACTGTTTTGTGGTTGGACCCTTTCTTTTCCTCAGCTTTTGGAAAAAAAAAAATCTGTTCTGGGTAATTTCTGTTAACAGTCCCATGTGGAAATTCTAGGTAAGCAGGTACTGTGCAGGAGCTCTGACTTCACTGCAGGGATGGCGTCTTTGTCAAGAAGACTTGCCACTGTCCTAAGTAGGTCCCACAGGCCACACAGTGGCATGTCATGTTGGCCTCCCTCAGCACTTCACGCATTCACGGGAAGCAGAAATCTCCTCTAACCTACAACAAACAGTAGGACCAGCTGGTTTCCAGAGCCAAGGAAGTGCCCTTCTCCAGAAGCTACTCTGTCCCAGGTACCACGTGCCTCTTCTGTGCCTGATACCCATCAAAGCCACCACTACAGAACATCTTGCAGGGCTTGCTTTCTGCTTCAGCATAGAACTTTGTTTTGGGGCATTCTGTTATCAATAAGCAAAGTATAAATGTTTTCAGGCAAAATAAATTCCTGCTGCATAATGCAGTGCAATTCAATTGCATCCCATGCAGACATTAAAACCAGAGGTTAGAACACACCCATACCAGACAAAGGCCAATAGTGACTGCAAAACAGTGGAGCTACTACAAGAGGTTTGTAACAGTCTCTGTGGAGCTGGGATCAAAGTAAACTGGCAGATAAAAATAAGGATGAGAAACTAAGATACACCTTATTAAGGTACTGTTCTCTCTGCTTTTAATCCTAACAGAAGTTTTGTTGACAGCATTGCAGACTGCAATGTCACTCTGCACCAAGTACCTAATTCATCTGTCTCACGGAAACAATTTCAGCAATGGAGAGCAGAGCCCTCCCTTCTTTGCCACGTGGTGAAGTTTCTTTCTGTTTTGCCTACTGGGTCCTGTGACGAACTGCACAGATGTTCCAAAATCCTGCCTCAAAGGGACACGGACAAAAATCATAACTATCCCTTCACCCAGCAGGAATAGCTCTTTCTGGAGCCAGTGAGAGGTGCCCAGCCTCCCAAGGCTGTGAGGTGGCTTAGCCCGGCATGCTCTTGCATCCTCAGTTCTTAACGTGCCTCCCAATGCTGCAAATGAGCACCCCTTTATCAGGGGAGCGTGCCCTCCTCAGGAAGTTGAAAAACCTCCTTTCTCAGGGAGCAGCAGCTGCCTAGTTATGGGGGCGTGCTTTCTTTAAGGTCCCATTCTCTAGAATTAGGAGGCATCAGGTTAACTCCCTCAGCTAAAGCAGCAGCACCTGTACCATTAACAACCTGCCAACTGCAGCTCTAGCAGCTCTACCACCACAACCAGCTTTCTCACAGGTAACTTCGATACTGATGGGCAGATCCTCACTTTGCTTTAAACCTTAAGAGGAGCTACAACGACGTGTGCCAGGAGAGGTGGACGCTGCTCCTGCACAGGTTTCCACAACACACAGAGGCACCGTCAGGCCTGGGTTCTCCTCTCCCTCTGGCCACAAACGGGTACGAGATCACGTCATGACGAGACAAAAAATCACTGCAAAATTATTTCCTCACACAGCACCTTCACTCTGCACAGAACATCAGATACATCAACACTGGCAGCTCCAAGATACCGGACAGCATTATCAGCCTTTAGAAGTTGAAGGCTGGGGCAGAAATCCAGACTAGCCATTAGTCCCATCAGCACACCGGGAACAACAAGCAAGAACACAATCTGGTGCGGGCTTGGTGGGGTTTTTGTTTTCAGGTTTGTTCTTGGTTTTGAAAGATGTAAAGCTGTTAACTTCCACACCCACATTATAACCATTTTGCTCACCTAAGCAGCACAACTGTTTTACCATTTAAAACTATGTCTAACTGGGGATGGCGAGCAACACTCACTCTCACCGCTATCCAAAACGCTAGTGTAGGTAGTCACATCCCCCACTCCATCATTAACTAAGTTAAAAACAAACCCCAAACTTAAATGATGAATACAAAGCTTCAGAGCCTAGAGGTGATCTTTGCAATCCTAACACTATTAAACAAGTAGCCAAAATACAAGCACCCGATTTTATCAATGAAATTTGATTAAAAGGACAACTAGGCTAAGGCCTGGCTTGGACTTCGAAGCTACATATTTAATCAGGTCACAAAATGAAGCGAGAACCGCATATCCACTGCCAGCTCAAGAAAAAGAAAACCCAAAGTTCAAGATCTGTTGGAGTATTGCTGTTTCTAAAGTCCTCGTTAGAGATATTACAAACAGATGATGTGCAGGTAGCCAGATTGCATCAAATGACTGATTTTACAGTGGGCGAAATTCCTCTGTGAGGATAACTTGCTTCAACGCTAACGTCAATGTTAAGAATGAAAATTTTGTGTCTTAAAGCTGAAAGTGAAAAGCTCTTCAGGTTTAAGTTTGTTTTATCCAAACATGTCAGCAAAATCCCACTTGTGGGGAACACATATTTTTATAAACTAGAAGCACATTATTCTGTTGTTTCCTTGCTTTAAGGGAGATAAAACCTGAATGCATGAACTGGATTCATCAGATACTGAATAGTGCTGGTTGACAGGGAAACGTACAGTGTGTCGTGCTCAAAGGAAAGCTTTTTTCTCCAGTTGTTACATGCTCAAACACTGAAGCACATCTGGTATTGGTTGTTGAGAAAAAAAAAAACAACAACATGCCTCCATTTTCAACCTTCTCTAAAGCTGTAAAAACAACACAAAAAAGAAATCCGTTTCTACTTTTGTTAAATGCATATCCTCCATTATGGGGGATTTCTGAAATTGTCTGATGCTGTGCTACACAACGCTTAAAAATAACTGCCTCTTCCCCAGTGAAATAAACCTGGGAACTTGTGGGGAAGGGGATTAGAGTGAATAAATCCTAGCTTTGTTCTCTGGTATACCTGCAAACAAATCCACTTGCCAACTGATGCTTTAAAAGTTTCTTCTCATCAAAATGTAAAATTGATATTTAAAAAAATTATTATTTTTGTAAATCCCTTAAGCTCTTCAACTGTGATGTCACACAGAACTATGTGATGTGAAACTGCAATAATACGCTCTCCCTTACCAGTTTGAAACCCATTTACTGGGTCTCATATTACAGAGAGGGACAAGAACAAGATATGCCCTCACGTGTGCAATCTTCTGGCTTTTCACCTGCTATCTTCCAGCAAAACCACACGGCTTTGTAACTGGAGAGCATTTCACAAACTGCATGTACTTAATAGGAGCCTTATAAAACGTTCTTTTAGAGATGCCAGCAGAGGGCATTGACCTGCTTCATGAAGTTCTTCCAAGCACAAGAGCTGGTGTTACCCTTGCAAACACTTCATAGGGCTTCATCCAGAAAACTCACACAGACAAAGCAGTGAACTGACATGATTTGCTTCCACTCTAATGTTACACTCACTCGTATTATCGTTTGCTCAGAAGTGTGCAAAAAACCCCTATATTGAAGAACTGGACCTAGCCCCTTCTCAGATTAAATTTATATTGCATTGTTAATGATTTTAGTCAACTTGACTTTGTGCAAAATATCTTTAAGAAGGTTCTGGCTCAACTCAGAATACAAAAGGAAAATAAATAGTTGACTAGGATATCTCTTGAAAACATAAAATGAATGGTGTATGCTGAAAAGAAAATTATGGGCTTAATGCAATTTATCTGCAAATAAAATAACTAGGATAGTAGTGTCTGAAATTTTAACATGTGAGATGGCACCAATAAAGATTTCCATTTGCACAATAATGTTCCCAAAGTCTAGATCAAAACAACATTATTTTACACATGGTAACTGCAGAGACTAGGAGCCTGAGATATGTTATTAAAAGGCAGTCCCTTGTAAACTTTCCTCAAAAGGAACAGTAGCAGTTGAGTATGCAAGAGTTACTCTTATCGTATCCAAGACAGCAATGCTTTATAAAAGACATACAGCTTATTTCCAGGTTGTTAAAGAATTTTATACGATACTCATTTTCTGAAACACGTATCCATTCAGTCCAAGATTGAAGTCACATCCTTCTTCACTGCTCTGTAGCTACTAGGTCTTTTGCTCTGCTGCTGTCGCTGTCTGTGAGGGAGCTTCTGGTTTCACAATCTGGTACGTAATGAGATATTCTGGGTATGCCTGAAGGTAAACCAAGAAAAAAAACAACAACATTGCTTTATACAAGAGTACAGTACACTCAGCAAGTTCACATTTTGGATTTCACTGAACAGTGAACCAGGAAGAACAGTGCAAGAATCAGCTCCCTGTTCAGAGTGCAAAAGAAAAAAAGGTATTTCAAACCTAGCCAGCACCCAGTGGGAACTGCTCCATGTAGTTAACACCTTTGATAATACACTAGCAGAAAGAAGTTTCTTCTGTGTAGAAACTGCCAGAAATTGTGTGCAACAGGAATTCACAATCAGAGTTACTCTCCTCGTTAGCTAATCCTACAGATCAGCCACGGCCTGAAAGTTATTCAAAAGTCTCAGATGACCAATGTAGCTGGACTCTAAAATGCTCCCTGACTTGCCATGTGACCTGCAAATGCCTTCACTGGCACTAAAATACTTGGCACACCCAAAGCATGTAACAGTCATCTGTCCAGTGTTTTCTGAAAACAGCTGGCAGGGAGTTCTGTCCCAGACCAACATTAAAGCTGCTGGAGAGCAGGGCCCTATTCAGAGGAACCAGCACAAGAAAGATGCCAACAAGCTGGAGCCAAGCTCAGCAAAGGACCAAGAAGATAGTCAAGAGGAGAGCACGCAGGATAAACAAGGAAAGGGTGAGGGAGATGAGGTTGTTCAGTTCAGAGAAGGTAAGGCTTTGTGTGACTTCACAGCAATCTTCCATCATGGACGGAAGGTTACTGAGAAAACAGAGCTCCCTTCTGAGCTGTGCAGCAGGAGAATGAGATTAAAATAGGGGAGGTTCCTATTGGATACAAAGAACATATTTTTTACTCTGAGGATAATTAAAGAAAGGAACAAGCTGCTGAAACACCATTCTCTGAGGCCTTCAAGAGCTACCTGGTCAAAGAGAGCCCTCAGCAATTTGGTCCAAATTCAGTGTGAACAAGAGGCTGGCCTAGGTGACCTCCCCAAGGTTCCTTCCAACCTGAATTTACGATATAATCTTGGAGCCATCCAGAGTACTAAGCAAACTGCTTTTCTGGAGTAAGAGTCTAGCTGACTTAGATTAAAAATCAGCTCCTGAAGACTGTTGTGCTACTTTGGCTGCCATTTAAGGGTAGTCTCTGGCAGGCAGTGACACCGTCACTGATGGCAATCTACAGGTAAAAAGCCCAGAATCCTCAAAACATACAAGAGCCCCAGAAATGCACTTGTTAATGCAGTAATGCCTGTAAAATGCAGTGGGAGAAACAGTGCCTACTGAGAGGAACTACAACTCTTACTAGACTCCAGCAGTGCTGCACAGGGGGAATTAGGCAATTCTGCATGGTGTAAATCAGAGCAGCTCAGTGAATAGGAGCAGCATTTGCTGGCTTGATACAGTTCACTTTATTTCCACATTTAGATGAAAAAAAAAAAAGAAAAGAAAAACCTAATCAACCAGGTTATCACAGCGTATTTGGTATGGAAACCAGTCACATCCCCTTTCCAGCTCTGCCCTTCCAATAAACCCAGTCCTTGCTAACCCTACATACCTGTTCTCCTCTATAGATAACATATTCAGCGTACGCAAGTCCATTCACGCTTGGCCTGCCAATAACAGAATGGTGCCCTGGAGGGGCATGAGCCATTTTCATTGTGCTGAACTGAAGAAAGGATTTTCCAAGGGTTACTCTACAGAAGAGCATTTGTCTGAAAGGAAAAAAAAAAAACATCATCATTTTCAAATATCTTCCTGGGAGTTGTATGCTTCCAGAATGATTTTAGACTTTCGAGTTTATTTTGTTAAAATTAATTTCCCAAGGCTTTTTGGAGAAGTGCTTTTAGAAAAGAGTTCTAAGGCTGTATAAAACCTGTCACAGAATTTTTTTTTTTTAAATATCTTTCTTGACACAGCGAAGGGAAAACACACACTTTGTTTAGCCCTCACATGGAGGCCTGTTCTAGTTCATTTTATATAAAGCTGTTGAAAGAAGCTGAAACTCCCTCTGTGTTCCTACCAGCAGGGTATGGACAGGTGTCAAAGTGTGAAAAGCACATTGGTCTACTCCAGTACAAAACAAAGCTGTGATTAAGCCCTGCTCACTACCTCCAAAATTACCTGAACCATAGTACAACACTGTACTGCTGACCACTACTTTGCACTGCAGTTTTGTTCTGAGAGTGCCTGGAGTTTAATTGCTATTTTCCCCTGACTCTTCATTTTCAAACTTGCTGTTTCAAGCCTCTTTCCTGAGCCACAATTCACTTTGATTTATGCTCACTCTACACTTAGATGTAATTTTTGACCTTTCTGTGGGACTCGCTGCATTTATATTCTTTTTTGTTCAGCCTTGACAAATGGAAAACTGCATTTTGACTGCCACGACCAAGCTCAGGAGGCTATTCTTTCCCTGCAATTCATCCTGTGCCAGGATCGTAAAAACCAGGACAGCCAGAATTACGTACAGGGAACTCTGCTGGGCTCATACCTGTGGCAGATATAACAGGACCTGTCTTTGTGTGTGGGACAGCCCGTTCCTCCCCCTATCCCATACACATATTGGTTGCTTTTTGAGGAGTTCTCGGCAAAGTAAATTCCAGCTCCAAACATTCCTCCAATGTATGCGTGCCTTTCGTCGAATCCTTTGTGAATGATGGCATTAATAAAAGGAGACCCTAGAACAGAATGACACAAACCGAGGTGTTACCATACATACTTGTTAAGCTCTATAGTAATACAGGACTCTGTGTCAAGAGGAGCTTGTCTGCCTCAAACAGACCATTAATACCAGAAAGAGTGCTCAGTCAGCTGGAAGGGGGCGATACCCAGCAGGATGCAGCGATGTGTGGGATTTATCGTTATATACCAAGAGCCCACGTGTGACTCATATTTCTTACTCATTTCACAGATCTCATTAAATGGCTTTCCCCCCACTCACATTTCAGTGCAGTTTATCTTGTCAATGCACACCTTCTCCAGCAGTCAGTACTGGTTAAGATGGGGCAAGATGTCAGGACAATCATACCCAAAACCAATTTCCTACACAGAATCATAGAAGGATCTAGGGCAGAAGGACCCTCAGGCAACCCTCATTTGTAAGGCACCTCTGGATGCTTCTAGAGAACATCTTGCTGAAACTCATGGTCAGTTTTGATTCCTTTCCCTCATGGTTGACTGAAATGCCAGGGTAAAACGCTTTCACTGTGTGCTGCTCCCCTCTTTTAGAAGATACCCTGTCTTTCTCACAGCAGCCTTACTGGAAATGACTAAAATATGGCTTAGCAAGAATCCTTTCCCCCCCTTTTTTTTTCAATCCAGTGTAGCTTTTTGGATAGCAGTAACCACACAGACTAACTCCACACCCCCCACCCCTACCCCCGCATTCCTTGAGTAGAAATACAATTACTGTACAGGATGGTGACACAGCAACATTAACATTGCCTGTGGGTCCTTGTAAGCTTTTTTTTTTTCTTTGTTAAATACCAGTACATACAAATAGAGATCACTGCCTTACCGTGAAACAACATGCGTTCGTTGTGATGATTATGATTCTCCTCTGAGACCTCCTTCTGTCTGTGACAGAACCTCTCTCGCAACTTCTTGTTCACAACCTTTTGAATCTGCAGTGGTACAACAGGTCCAACCATACTTGAATTGGAATTGAAATGGAATATAGTTTCACAGAGTTTGCATACATTTGACAGGGAAACTGAGAGTAAGACACGTGAATGGTGTGAAGAAACCCAATGGCTGTTCCACATGCAAGGCTGAAGTCTTTCAACCAAGTCAGTAGCACACACTTACACATGGTTAAAACTACTATGAAATTGCAGCCTAAGTTCTTAGGTTTAAGGAAGACTTTCAGGCTTCTTCCCTAGAGCTTGCAATACCACTAAGAACTACAAACTGTCTGAAACTCCTTCCATCTCTGCCGCGAGCTTTGTTGAACAATCTGAGCTAGCTTTCTGAAGGTTGCTGTCTGGTTTAGGTTGAATTTTTATGAAAAGAAACAACTTCTGAGGGAAGAAATTAGAAGATGTGCTGTTTAATCTATCTTGAGATATCATTCCAGCCACATGCTTTAATACCACTGTGGCTTCTGTAAAGGACTTCACCTCCAGCTGGGAGAAAGATGGAAGCAGATTTTACTTCAGGACATATGATCTACTGCGCCAAGTTGCAAAGGCTCTGCACAGGCTCACTTTTCAAACAGATATGTAATAGCAGATATTATCCTGATATGCCAGGGCTTGTAAAGGTATTTTTCTAGTTGGCAGGGGCAAAGGAGGATGTGTCAAGATCCAAAGTAGCATAGGGAGATAGAAAGTTTTAATAAAAAGTCATGTTCATGCTTTCCTGCTCCCCAAAAATCTCCTTCAAAACATCAAGGAAAGACTATCCTGAGAAAAAACCAAAACCTGTGCTGCCAAGTCAAATAGAGAAGTTATACACCTCTGAAATTAAATCAGGTTGTGAAAGATAAATAAGGCTCCTCACCACCTCTGTCTTTCATATCAGTTTTTCAGGCTCCTTTAAGAGCACAAGTGGTCACTTCTCCCTCATTCCATCTGCCGAGCACATGATCAATCTAATTTTCCTATTTAGCACTTGCTTTAACTCTGCTCCTGAATATTATTTCAATAACGAACTTTAAATACAAAAGGGTGATTCACTAAACCAATTCTGCTTGCTTGCATAAGTAACAACTTATTTTACCACATAGCATTAGGGGTTTTTGAAACTTACCCTGATGACATTGTACCTGTTGAAGATCCCACCAGCATTTCCACCATCCCGATGCTCCCGGATCGTACTTTGCATCTACGTAAATGAACACAACTGAATGTTCAGCACACAAAGCTTCCTAGCAAGGCAAAATACTCATGCAATATCTCAGTATATCCCTGGCACCAACAGACAGCCTTGATTGAAAATTAATTAAAAGGTGTCAGAAAAAATATTCTCAATTTTAAATTGAGCTACACCCTTATCTCTCAGGCATCGTGCTATGTCCTTCCACATTAGAGAAGTTGGATGATGCAATTATCCAATCTCATAATAAAAATATACAAAGGAAAAAGGAGAATAGTGGCACTACCAAAATTATACACAACTAGAAAACCTGCTTTAGATCAGAAAAAAACAATCTTTGAATATGAATATACAAAAAGATCATTTTGAAGTAATAACAAATGTGTTTCTAATGAGTACAGTTTGCATTTCTTAGTTATAGGAAAATGCTTGCACTGTCAATTTTCTTATGTCAGTAGCAGTCCCTGAGAATTTCAACAGTTTCATTGTGTCCTTTCCAGAGGTATTTACGGCTACAGCAACAACATTTAGTATCAGCTCAAATAAATATCCTAATTTACTATGGCAGACAAGTGTCCCTTTCTGTCAGAAAAGTTTATAAACAATATCTGCAAAAGCTCCAGTTTACAGAGTTACTAATCAAAAATATTCCAGGCAAAACTGGCAGCAATCCTGAATATCTAGACTTTCAAAATGACTCCAAATGCTTCTGTGCTACAGTGTAGGAACTTGCAATACACAAATAGCAAATGCGCAATAAAATGGAGTTTCTTCCAAACACAACTCTCCAGAAAGTCTCTTTTCTGTTATGATTTTTCTTTCAAAATGGTATCTGCTTGTAGTTTACTTAAATAAAAGAGCATGTGTGTGTGGGAGGCAAAATTGCAGTCAATTCTCAATTATCCAAGAGCTGTTTATCTGGGTTACAGATTAACTAAGCCACTGAGACAACAGAAAACAAGCTGGTTCACATGCAGAAACAGCCTGAGAACAGATAATGGCTGCAGACTTGCACGGCCTTGATCCCTTGGTCTTCATTAACAGTCTTTGATTTTCGCAGGTCAACCTACCTACAGAAAGCTGTGGAAACCCTTGCTATGAGACGACATCCAAAACACGACAACAACAAAGCAAAATTGGGATAACACTAAGCAAACAAACAGACCACTTATTTAAAAAGAATAAATTGGCAGGACACAGCAAAATAGTTACCATCATTGCTCTATGCAAAAAGACAAATGAGGAGCCCTAAACTTCATGTCAGATTTATGCAATTCACACACCAAAGCATATTTTTTGACTTTCAACATGTATTGCACACTTTTAGCTCTGATATATTCTCGTTATACACGAAGGGAGAAATACACTGCCACTGGAGCATTAAGAAAGGTACTTGCAATACCTCCTCCTCTACGGACTGATACTCCTTATCGTCAGGAGCAAGGTCAAGGAGAATGGTCCCCTGACTCACACAGTGGAAAGTCAAATAAGGATTGGTGCCTGCAAAGAGAAGGAATTAAAGAAGTAAAAATCAACAGGGGAAAACAATACCACCTCTATTTGGATCCAGCATCATCATTATTCTTCTTAAATAAGCCCAGTACAGCAGGAAATACAAAATAAACACAAGGCAGAAGCACAACCTTGAAAAGATAAAAGTGCTTCCGTTAGCAGCGGAGGCTTTACAAGGGAGAAGGAAAATGCATGTGGGATGTAATTGCATTTTATTGTTTCCGCTTTCAAGAGAAGCATCTGATAAGTGTGGGGGAGAAAAAAACTCCATCAGGTCCACCCTTCCTGATTTAACTGGCCTGAGGGTAGATACGTAGGGCAAATCAATTCAAAAGCTCCTGCCAGGGGGGAAACAGAGTCCCTGGAAATGGGCACAGTCTCCACAGCTGCCTCAGGGGTGTCCATCCTCTGGAAAGGCAAGTGATAACTTGGCCCTGTATTTCTTCAATATATTCTTTATCTGTCACAACCCACCCAGCCACTAGGTCTGCCAGCAAGTGCATTTTCCTGACATCCAGATTCTTTCAAGTCCTGGTGACAATGCCTGCATTTACAGAAAGTGACTTCTGGGAGTCTGTTGTATGATACACTTAGACTAACCAGTAAAAGTGTCATATTTACCTTGCTGCCCTCCTAGAAGTCTCTCCACACCTTTTATTAATTTGTGGCGGTGTCCATACGCATTGATCCCAATTTCTTTAAGCTCTTCATGCCCCATGTCTGCCAACACATCCAGGGTTATCTGGGAAGGTGAAAGACCACAAAAATCACTTGCCAAACCTGGCCTGATTCCCGAGGCTGAACACCCGTCAGTTCAGAAAATGGAAATGTATTCACGGTGCAACCAAGATCATATATATATATTTTATGTTTTGCTGCACTTTTAGTTGCTGCCACCTTCTGGCAAGTCTCTCCCTATCACAGGACCATCCATACCCAGCTGCTACAGCCTGAGGCTGTGCACAACTTTTACTTCTCGTACAGCAAGTAACAAGAGCTGGCTCTCAGAGGAGGCTCTCAAAAACATTTTTACTTATGTGGAAGAAGGATGCGTGGAAATGCTGGGACAGATCTGGGACTATTCTTGAAACATTCAAAGTTTCACATTGTTGTGCAATTCATTATTTTGACTACGCAAACAGAAATGAGTATTTCACTAAAAATTGAATATCATTAATTCAAAAGAAAGCAATTCAAGCAAAAAAAATTAGTAGCTCCACTGAACATCTGCACAATTGAGCACAAAAAAACCAACCCTACTGGGATTGCTGTGGAAAAGCCACTGAAGAAACTCATCACATGCAGCAGAACATTAAAAAAATATTGAAGAATCCCAGATATTATAAAGCATCAGGAGGTGTCTAGAGTCAAGGTGAAAAAGTATACATGAAGGTACTGCATTGCTTAGAAAAAGCAGCTTAAAACAGTAAGCTTAAGGAAGATGAGCTTGTTTTCACTAGATAGGAACTTATAAAAGGAGCTAAATAGTTTCAAAATGATGAATTAATATAGTGAATCCGATTTGCATTATTAAATCTTATTAGCAGGGGAAGATCTTAAAAACAGGTAGGAGTTAAGGAAGCAAAAGTAGAATAAAACCAAAAAGAAAAAAAGAAATGTGAGTAGAATATATGTTGGTTTCAGGTTGGTTTGCTTCTTAATGGAAGCAGTTCCAAATTAAAGAAAAGAGCTTAATACTTCATATATAAGAAGGGAAAAAAGATTATATGGCATTTTAACTTTGGGGAGATACTTCCTGTAACATTTCATGGAAACAGGTGGAACTTTTTCTGTAAGCAACTCATTACATTTCAAACGTTTTGTTTCCTGAAGCCTCATAAAAGATCAGCAGCAGAGGCTTGGGAAAATTTAACCAGCAAATCCAGTCTCTTGCACTTGTACCTTTCACTTCCACCACATGTGCAAACAAATAATATATTGCACTGTAACACGTTTAATTTAAGAAATGGTACATAAAAAGAGTCTACAAATTGTAGTCCAAACCTCTTAGGAAATGCAGTTTCTGCATCCTCTAGTGTAACTACCCCCTGATAAACTAGATTTTTATGTCAGCTTATAGTAAAACTAGGGGGTTTCCCAGTGTCACGTGCGGCACTGCAGGTAGCAAAAGGCTTGTCTGGATATCAAGACTGCTGAAGGACATTCATGAAGACTGCATGTGATGTTCCAATCTAACTTTACTACAGCCATCATGTTTAAAATTCAGAAGGTCCAATGTAACTCTCAGAATACAAGCCAAATTGGTAATCATCATGAACGTATAAGAAAGTGAAAGACACTGGACATCTGAATCAAACAACAAATGAGATATTCACAGGTTTCTCAACTTCACCATAAAGTATCCGGCAACTTGCAGTTTTCTTGGACATACGTGGTTTTTTTGTAGATGTGAGTTTGGGTTTTCTGTATTTCCCTTTTTCAATTAGAGAATAAAAATGTCAATCAAATTTATTAGGTTAATCTATCTTTTAAACCTACAGAGATGAAGCTTGCCACTTACCTGTTCTGTTTCAAAGATGTCCCGAAGATGTTCAAGACCCAGGCTTTTTAGGAACTGGGTAATGTTCATGTCAAGGCCAGAAACTATAAGAGAAGAAACAAGTCATTATATCCTATCTACCTGACTTAAAAAAACCAAAAACCACACAACAAATCCTTAAAAAGAAATAATCAAAAAATACCACTGATTGTCTCAAAACTCCAAACTCTGATTCTTTTTACAATCAATTTGTCTATTATAAACAACCCACTTCCATGCTTCCATTGTGTGAAAGCTCAGTGCAAAGATCATCACTGTTCTCTCCTCAGAATCAACTATTAAAAAGTACAAACAACCTGTGGCAAACACAGGCTCATATTGCAAAGAGAAGGAAAGGAAGGGTGAGTGTATTTTTGCGATGTAATCACTTAGGTGCTGACATCAAGCCTGCATTCCAGATACTAATCAAAGGGTTAAAGAAGCCTTAGCAAAATCCCCCAGCCATCACAATCATAATTCCTTCATCAAAATAATTCTCATTGGATTTTCTGTATAAAATCAACAATGAACATCTGGGCACCTAATCAGGTCTGCCTTTGTACTCAGACCTAATCACTGAGAGCAAACACAGACAAACAGCCAAGAATGCTCCCAGCAGAACACATGAGAACAGAGCAAGCACTAGACACTTTTAAAACAAAGATAACAGTTCAAGCTGTGCAATATTTTCTGGCTAGTCAGAAATACTTTTCAGATAAAGCGAGGCTTATTGTGATACTACTGTACTTCTAGCAACGTAAACTCGTCCAGCAGCAAATGCACCTTCTCCTTCCTTCCGTTCAGTTCCTGCAGCTCCATCACCAGCATTGGATGCTCCTCCTACAGCTAATTCTGCCAGTGGCCCCGTGAGGTTATCTATGCTGCTAGCAGCGGAGAGGCAGGACGGCGTAGATGCTGGTGAGATCAGGGAGGCACTAACAACGGTAGCTTGAGGCTTGAAGCATGTGGGCAAAGCTTCTGGGGGCATTGCATCTATCAGCAAAGCTCGGATGTCATCAGCCTGAAAAACACAAAGAACATTCAACATGAGATTCTATTATCACAAGTCACCGATCTCCGGAAAGAATTTTGCAAAGAATTTGTTTTAATTGATTACTCTGTTCCCCCATCAAAAAGAAAACTGCCAACTTTTGTAACACAGGAATTTGTGTTTCTAGAACATTCTGATTCACTGCTCAGACGCAGGTGAATTGGCTTCTCCCCATTTTTAAAGCTATGTAAGAAGGCACATCTAATTTTCTTTCTGGCAGAATGACTTTATAGGTGTCAAAGCCAGGAAGAGCACTGCAGCAACTTTGTCTGAAATCCTTCACAACCTAGGTCAGGCAATGCCACCTCATAATTTCTCTGTCAGGCTCAACTTCTGGTGAAGCATTTTGCATTGGATCAAGGTTTCAATAGAAAGACTACCACTGCCTTTGCTATAATGACATCTTATAGTGTTAAAATACAAAAAAAAAAAAAAGACAGGAGCTACAGGAGAAGTATGAACTTAGCTAATAACTGGATTTAGCCTTTGTGGACTAAATTAAGCAGGACTCTCATCTTCAAGAATGTCCTCCTTGTATGTTCTTGCGGAACATGATTAAGACATCCTCATTTTCACTCAGACATCAAATAGTTTTCATATCCCTTATCACGAAGCGAGTTTTCTAGAGCTCAGATAATTCTGGAGGATATTTCTTACCCTTTCCATAAACCAATCGATCGCTTTAAAAGATAATCATGCTATAACCAGACACAGCATCCAATTTGGTTGTATTATCTATTCCATCAAGACTGGTTCATATAACCTTATTAGGCTTTTTAGCTAGCCACCACTGTCATCACTAACAAGAAATTTTCCAGATGCCAGTCTTAGAAAAAGTTTGATAGCCTCTTGCAAATCTTAGAATGTTGTTTTGAAGTCAGACAAAAAAGAACTGAGGTAATATGCAGGCTTGAGCATAATCATCCTCTAAACGCCCATCTGATTTTTCTCCTACATTCAAAGAAGTAATCAACAGTACACAGACTGGCCATCACAGGCACACTTCAGAGAGACTTATTTCTGGCAATAAGGAGCCTCATCCCAAGAGTGAATCCTTAACAGAAGCACACCTTAAATCACAAGCCATGATAAGATCTCAGACACAGGAAAAAGCCTGAATTCAGGGGTAAAAGTCACAAACAGGCACCCTGGAGACGCTCATCTCCCTCTACCTCAGCACAGGAAAGGTAAGGCCCGCTGATGCCAGGGAGCCAGAGAAAACCATTTAATAAGCAGAGCAAATCCTCCAGAGCAGCCTGTGGCTGGCACGCTAACGTGAACTTACTGTTGCCAGGTCTAATGGTGTCTGACCCTCTTGATTCTTCATGGTCGGATCTGCTCCATGAGCTAACAGCAGAGCACAGAGCTGTGTCCTTCCTTTTTGTGCAGCTTCATGCAATGGTGTGAAAGCCCATTTATCTGTTGCGTTCACGCACGTATTGTATTTGATCAACAGCGCTGCTATATCCACATGCTGGAAAACACAAGAACAACTTAATCAGTGTGACAGTGGTAAAAATTTCCTTTTTTATGCTGGAAGTAACGGTGCTCAGAGACCTCTGAAATTTCCCTTTGACTCACTTCTCTGCCTCCTGTATCTACATAGCAGCGCACCTCTTCACTTTACACTGCAGCTCCATAGTCACCTGTGATGTACCTGTGCACTACCAGATCATCCACCAGCACATGTATAGTTGGGATCAGGCACAGAATTATATTTCTGCCAAATCATCCCAAGCATGAAGTTTGTGTCAGCTGCAGGAGCAGACAGGATACTTGATCTAGCATAAAACCAATAGAGTCAACTGTCAAAATATCTGCAGACAAATTTGAACTGGCAACATAAATGACGATGTGTTGTACTGCTGAGCTACCACTTAAACACCTGTACACAGCGGTCTTCATCATACTTTGTTTCTTTCTTGCAAGACTTTGAACTCATCCGTGGCAGCACAGATTTGTTCTTTCTCCAATCATGTATTATGAGAGCACTGTAACTGATAAAACGCATGATGAGGTCATATGGGCTTTAAAAGTAATGATCTTCTAACCCCACACTTCCATCAATATCCCATCCTTGAAGTCTCCCAAGTTCAAATAAGAGAACAGAAAACCGGCAAGTAAGTTTTTTGGCTGCCTCTGACCAGTAAAATTACTTGAGCAATACAGCTAAGAAATAAAAAAGCAGGTAGTCAAAATGAGCAGGTTGGAGCGTGAAACACTGAAATTGTAAGCAGAAGTGCAAAGACTTCCCAATGGATTTCATTTTTCCTCTCAATGGCAATTAAGTGACTCTCAGCAGCTCTCGTAAAGGAGCCTGTTCTCTGAGTAAGTGTGCTTTGAAAAGACTACAGACCTTATTTTTCTTCTTGGCCAAACTTTTAAAGCAATTGCTGTTCCTGTGACTTTTCTGCCACCCTACTGAGGGACACACAGCAGGAAGTGGTGGGTGGGAGAACTGAAGATACTTTGTGAGGAGAAGGTTGAGCCTGTGAAACCTGCCAGCTATGAACTTGAGAAACCAGTACTCATCTCCTCTCTGCCTCCCCTCACAGAGATCTGAACAGGCTGATGACAGCTCAGAGAGAAGCGTGGGCCGCCACAGGAAAAGTATACAGCAGCTCTTAACTAAATAAGTTGATGGAAAAGCACCAACCACTGCCTTGTTACCTTTTCCTAGCAAAAGTAAGGCAACCAGATTAGATTGGCATTATGATTTTTAGAAGTGACAATCAGCTTGAACCAATCTCTAACTTTTCCCTGTAAGGAACGTTTTGCCTTTGTGTAAAATGGGTGATTTGGTTTTCTGTGCTTGAGAAGGAAGAACACAGTCTTTGCAACAGAATATACCTCTACATCTAAGCAACGTTCTGGGAGTTTAATGCTTTTGGTAGATGCTGATGAACAATATTGCTTGGTACTAGGATCCAGCATCATAGAAGAATTCTGTGTTGCATTTCTAAACCTTGAGCAGGATTTGGAGCTTTTGCTCTTTAGGATGCTGGAATCCCAAACTGCTGTAAAGAACTAATGCAAATGATGCAGGCTGACTTTCACCAATACAGTCTCCTTAAAACAAAAGGTGAACACTGTACTTTTTATTTCATTTGGCTCTCAAACAAAAGCAATCATGGTTCTATTATGATCATCTCTCCCAGATTTTGCTCTTCCTTGTGCCAGGGCCAGGTAGGAACAGACAAAGCATATAATGAGACCATCAAAAACACTACTTCTTGACTTTCATGTTCTCTGTCTGACCGTAAGCACATTGCTGGGACCTTCTCAAGCACTGTCCCCATACAATTATTTGCAAGAGATTTCTTTCTCACCTCATCCCAATTAAGAGCTGCTTATAAGCAATCTATCACACATCTGTTCAATGGGTATACATACAGATGCTTCCTCCTATCTGGAGGAAGGTGGGCCTCCCTCATCCAAAACAGTTTGAATCAGCCACTGCACCCCCACAGCAGTAGACAGCTTGCCCAGGAGGACACCCATACTACAAACTCAGTAGTCCTTCAACACTTCAGCAATACCTCCCCACCAGAGACCAGCTGTGACAGACTTCCACTTTCCTGTCAGGTGAACATATCTTCCCAGCTACAAAATAAGGCCTTTGGATATGACTTTAAGGAGTTCCTAGCTGGTCTACTCATGGCAAGAATGGCTGTACCTACCCCATAGGACGCTGCGTTGTGTAGGGGAATTAATCCTCCTTTGTCCTGGGCATTAACATCAGCACCATGCTCAAGTAGGTACTCAGCTACTTCCAAGTTGTTGTAACCAGCTGTAGAAAAGGCACAGGAAAAGAAATCAGGTATTAGGAAAGCAGAACTGAAGAAAAAAATATTAGACAGAAAAGCTAAAGCAATTTTTTGACTACAAAAGCTCCTCTTTTCTAGTAACTGTATTACCTCCTGCTGCCACAGTTATTAACTCTGTACGGGACAATCCTCTGTGAAACTCCTACTATACCAATCCCGGTTGCGGCGATTAACTTCTGTAGCCCTATCATAAATTTACAAGCCTTCAAAACCTGGTGAGTCACCCACCTGCAAGATGTAGTGGTGTTGAATTTCTTCCCTGGGTGTCTCTGCAGTTGATGTTTTCTTGAGTACAGAGTTTCTGCACTCGTGCCAGGCACCCCTTCTTGGCAGCATCTAGCAAGGCAGCGTCTCCTCGCAGTAAGTCCTGGATATCTGTGTCTCCTTCTTTCACCAAATCTAGAGGAGTGTTCCCATCTCGATTCTTCTTTGTTGGGTCAGCTCCGTGCTGCAAAGAGCAAAGTGGAATGATACTGACACAACCACGAGCAGAGCAGTGCACATTAAGCTGTGCCACTATTCTGTGGCAGGAGACAGGAGGTGGGGGATTGTGCCGACCAGCCATCATGAAGTAACAAGTGCATCAATTAGTAGACACTTAAGAATAAATCCAGGAGACTAGACCTAAAGCACCAGTCAGCAACACAGCTGTGGAATCTCAGCTCCACAGGCAAGAATGACAGCCCCCTGCAAGAGCTGCCACTCCTCTCCTGGCACATGAAGTAGGTTCAGGAGCATGTCCTGCGGATAGCTATACCCTACCGTCACTGCAGGCCCTAAAGAAAAGCCAACTGCAAGTTCCTTCATGGTCAAACCTTCTCTTCTCCTGCAAACCTGCTGTCAGAGGTATCTCCTCAGCACACCTTTCTGAGCTAGTGAAGCCAGGCCTCAAGTGTCACTAAATGCCACTCTGCTATTGAAAGGCACTTGTTTAAGAAGGGAACTAGGAAAATACTAATTTCTACACCTTCCCATAGATAACAGCACCATCTCAAGCAGTTTCCAGGTGCTGGAAAGCAGTGAAGAAAACATTGTGGTGGGAAGGTAGTTTTGGATGACTGCTTGAGTACCATCTGCAGGTAAAACATGCAGATCAGCCAGTGATAAGAACAGAGGAGCGGAGCAGAGGCCGAGGAGGGAAGCATACATCTACATACAGCATATGGCGTGAGTCACGTCCACATACAGTCTTGTGGGAGGACACCTCCTTCCCTGTTCACTCACAGCAGCAGCAGTGGGGAAAAAACAAAGCTAGATAAGGCAGAGGCAGCTGCTGGCAGTACAGCTCCCTGGCTGGCCCCTTCAGAATAATCAAACACAGTGGTCCGACCCCTGCCAGCCAGTCTACCCTGCCATTTCTCACTGGGGATGCTGGCAAAGCTGTGTTCTGTGAGCCACGGGGAAAGAGCTGGGGATGGGGAAAGCAGAAGGAATTAACTGCCTCATACTTGGAAGCAGTACAGCAAGGCTCAGGATGTAAAGGGTAAACAGGAAGGGACAGAAAGGGACAGGATACTGATTACATAGAATCAGTTCCATATTTGTGGTGCTTTTGGAAAGAGAGCATTCTTTGCACACAGACTTTTAAAGTGCAATTACTTCTGCAAAATACAATCTTCAATCACTTAATTTGAAACTTATCAAAATTGGAACTATTCAAACACTCTTCAGAATAAATATCTAAATGAAGAGGCTGTGTCTTCTGAGACTCCTTCCTAGGCATAGAAACAAATGAAGGTGGCAATTTTAAAGAAAGGTGATGAAAAAGGAGTGCCTTTCTAAAATGCCCGTACATTTTCGTTTCCTTCTTCAAGCAGAACAGGACAGAAAGAGCAGGAGTCAGGAGTCAACTCAACATCCAAAGCTCAGCAGAAGTGGCAGCACTGCCAGCTGGCACACGAGACACAGCAGGAGAAGCTCTGAGCAAACTGCGGGGTGAGCACATATCCACAGACACCCAGAACCTATACAGAACTGTCACCTTAGCGGCATACGTAGCTCTTGTGCAAGAGTGATTTCAAAAAGAAAGATTTCAGCACTTTTCTATTTCCTGTTGTACATCCATTCAGGATCCTTTGAAGACAAAAAATAGCTAGGTGCCAGTAGAATGATCAGAAAACTCCAGAGACCTCCGGTGTCGAAAAAGTAACACTATGCCTCAGAGATCATGAGTGCTCATATAGCTTGAGCTAACATCTGTATCCAGGTGTTAAAGCCCAGGCCATCATCACGCCTCCTCCACAGATATTCAGATTTTTGAATATCTTCTGGTTTCCACTGCAGATGTATTTCAAACTGAATGCCTTTTTGGTAATCAAGTGAAATAATGAGATAGGAGGGAAATAGCAGGGCTTTGTGGCAGCAAATGAAAAGAGAAGTGGATGGGGAAGAGCATAATTTTGGACTATCCATGTTCTTTCTGACTTATTAATTTTAAATGCTGTGCTTCAGAGGGACATGAAGTAGGCAAGGCTAAAGCAGGAAATAGGATTGGCAAGAAATTCTACTCTAGCACCCTCTTTTACCCTCCCACGGCAGGATATGATCCTATGTTAAGAAGTCTCTCAAACTCTTCTCACTGGAAACATGTTGGCATTACCTCATCTTTTTACAGGTTCTTTCACTAATTATAATGAGTACTTATTCCACAGTATATTAATACGCACTTCCTCCAGGAACTTGATAAATTATACATTAACATAACAGTTTTAAATTTCTCACATGCCAGACACCATTTAGGATCCACCTTCAGTTATTGCTCTGTAAAACACTCTTGCATAAGTATTTACAAAGGTTTACTTAATTGGAGTAACCATTCCAGGATAAAGTGGTTTTTTTTTTTATTTTTACACAAATTCAGCTGCTTTTTCCAGTTTGAGAGTCTCGTCCTACTTGGCTAATAGTATTAATACACGTACTGGAAAAAGTAACTGTACTGATGATCCTTTGGAAGTGAACTGACATTGCACAAGAAACCATCTGACTATTGTAAGATGAAAATACATTCAAAGACACCAGAAAGAACTCGCTGAATGCCATTAACTTTGCATTAATTAATTAATCTTCAGCAAACATAAGCATATTTAAAGACACATCTGAGAACTCCAGCACATACTTTTAAAAGCAGCTTGCAGATTTCGTATTTTCCTTTTGCTGCTGCTTCATGTAGAGGAGTGAATTTCCACAGGTCTGCCACGTTGACAGAAGCACCGTGCCTCACTAAGAGTTCAGCCACTTCGTAGTGTCCATAAGAACAGGCATTGTGCAGGGGTACTAAGCCACTAGCCAAAGAGAAAGTATTAATAGCTACAAGAAAATAAAATCCAATATGCAATCATACAAAGTTCCAGTAGACAAAACTCCCACTTCCACCAGACATTGGTGGTATCTTTCAGTCCTTCCAATTTTCATAGTTTTATTTCCCTGCTATTAAAATATCAATTAAAAATTCATGATCCTCCTTCAGTTCTCATCCATGAGACTTTTAAATACTCAGCAATGTTACAGCTTCCAGAACCAAGTAACTTCAATGCTGTTAGCAACAGCCAAAAACTAAATCGCAAGAATCACTGCTGTTCTGACTTTGGATGTTTGAGTGTAAATTTCAGAAAAGGTGTAACATTATACAATGCGTTTGAAATACAGTTATTAGTAAGCACTGCACACCTGATAGATACAGAAATATACCCAAACATTTCTTTCAGGAAGAGCCTGAAAATTCAGTATTGGAAATGTTTTAGTGTTGGAAATGAATTATCGTCCACCCTGAACCAATATATTGGAGTGAAAGATAAAACACAACCATGCTATTCTACGTGATTGCTTTGCAAATAATGCAAAAACCAGTAAATGGTTTGTATCATTTAACTGACCATTAACTGAATAAGGCATAACTTAATAATGAAAGCTAACTAATAGAATTAGAAAAATTACCAGAGATAACCCTGGTATTCTACCCCATGCAATTCAATAATAACTTTCAATCACCTGAAATAACTTAAAGGATGCTTTTAAGCAGAACAAAGTCTCCAAAATGGGCAGAAAGGGAAAGAGAAGGATCATGTATTGTAGTACCATATATGTACTTGACAACTGCTTTGCCAGAAAGCTAAGTGTGCCTTAATGGTCTATAAATCTCCCGGCAGTGGCGTCAGAACAATGCAGAACAAGAAGGAGAGAAACATTTTCAAGAGAAAAATATGATAGTTACTGAAACCTGAAGTAAAATTAATAGAGGAGGGCAGAAGTCTCACACTAATAGAAAACAGCAGAGCTTATCACGGAATGAAATGTACCCTTTATCTTTGGCATGCACATCCGCCCCATGGTGCAACAGATACTCCACCACTGACACACGGTTATAGCCTGCAGCAAAGTGCAGTGGTGTTGAATGACGGCCTTCCAAATCTCTGCAGTTCACATTCTGAGGGCTGCAAAGTTGCTGCAAAGACAAAAGAAGTAACCAACCTCTAGTACAGAACTAAAGCAAACAAGTATATCTCCTCCTGAACCAAATTAACTGTTTTTTAACAAACAAAGAGAGCCCAAAAGAAAAAACCCAAACTACTACCCCCAAGCACACCAATACAAAATGTGATCCATTTATTATTATATGCAAATTTTTAGAAGTTAGGTTTCAGAAAATTTCTTTCTACTTAGGCAAAGTTAAAAAAATAGCTGCTCTAAATTTATGGCTGGAAGTACTTCTATAAAAAATAAGACTTAAATGATGGAAGCAGTAGGAAGGCATTCCTAATGTATTAGAAAGAGTGAGCCTCTAAATCATTAAGTACCAGGTTCAAGGCCATGTAACTTTCTCCGGATATGTTACCGTTTCCAGCTTATGTTCTCTCTAGAAATCTAAAAATATTGAGCTTGGCAGTCAAAAGAGCTGCTGGTGCACAGAACTGCTGCTATTTGAATATTAATATGTATCATGTTGAAGTTCAAGGCAAGAAGGCATGCAGAACAGTCTGTCTGCAGGCTATTTTGCCCACAGATCCAGTGAGAAAGACAAGATCAAACCTTCCTGTGATGCTGGTATTCCACAGCCTGACCCTTCAGATTGAGGATGGCTTAAAATGTGAAGTCTGCTACCTGTTAACTGTTTTGTTTGCTTGCTTTCTGATTGAATCATGCACCTGAAGCTTGTTTCTACTAAACTGTCATTCTGAGGATCACAGGGTCCACTTCAAATAATTATGGCTGCATCTGCAACGTTGCATCTGAGTCCATTGAAGACGTGACTGTGTGAAGGACTGGGAGAACGAACAACCAAAAATTCAAAACACATCAGTACATCTTAATACACTATTTTCTAGAAAAAATAATGAAGAGATTTGCCTTCCCATTCTTTATGATTTACCATCCACTGGGCACTACTTCCACAAGTCTTGTAGCAGAGGCTTCCACAAGTCTTTTACTGCAATACAATGAGGAAAATTAACATGAATTGCTCAAACCTACCTTCACAGTTTCCAAGTCTCCAGCTTTGGATGCTTCTAACAACCGATAATCCACATCAGATGTGCGCACGGGTGTACTTTCTACATAGGGAAAAAGATATTCTAGGATTACTTAGGGTCACAAGTTTTATTAACTTGTGCTCAACATATTTTCCAAACTGAGGAAAAAAAAAAAAGTCTGTTGTTCTTTGTAAAAATGCAGCAGGAGTTGTGATGATCAAGTTCGTATTGTCTAAATGGCTCAATAAAGAGCCTCCGTTTCAGTGTAAACCAGTCAAATTTAGACTCTAGAGCTGACATTATTCTGCCAAATGGAATTTCAATGCTTTGCTTATCTTATGCATGGTAAAAATGACCATTTCTGCATTTAGGAAATCTTCATGCTCAGTGGGACAGATTCAAAGTTTTGCTGAAGATCAAAACCACCTTTCTCAGCAATTTCAGCAAACTTCATGAGGCACCAGTGTACAGCCAAGGTTAAATATGCGTAAATCAGCAGCTGAATTACAGCCTTTGCACTTGTGATATGTCTCATACTACGAAGCCATGACAATGGGATGGGATTGGCCACATGGTGACTGTGTGCCCTATGATGCTCCAGCTCTACTGCACTTCATAGCAACAATGAGACCCATCCCTTGTTATATGGGGGTGGTTAAAAATAGAATCAGAAGAATGACAGAGTGATTAAAAGGAGACATTTGGAGAGATACAGTCATTTAAAGAGGAAAAAAGGTGAGACAATGACAGATTTTGGTCTCAGAACTCTTTTTCACCCCACTTCTCATATGGCTGTAAGAAAGCAAGCAGGCACTGAGGGAAGAGGAAGAACTCTCTGGAAAGGAGTAGTCCCTAGTGCTCTTCTGTGTTGCTCGAAAAGGCAATCTTGATCACTTCATTTTTGATAGAAACGGCTTTCTATTGTAGAAGCCACTCTTCTCAAGCTCAAGGATTCATGGAATAGAAGTTTTGGCAGCAGGGTGCCTGATCAGTGACAGAAATGACTGCCTAGTGCAAAACAAATGGGGCAAGGTGAACTTGGGGCTGCAATCCTCTGAAAGAATTCTGTAAGGAACTCAAGAGTGCTGTAGCAGGCTAAACTCATTCTAGACAGGCATGCAACTCCATCAAAAATATTCAGAGGACTTCTTTAAGTGTAGATAAATGGTACTATGTCCTGGGAGGAAACTGCAGAGATGTTCTGAGGAGGCACTTCTTACATGTTAAGACAATCTCTGCAGAATCCAGTCAGTTCCTGACTTTGCAATGTAATTTGTAGCCATATCACAGGAGTGGAAAATGGGTAAAAGGGTATCTGTTTTCTTAACTAGCAATCCTTACAGAAGGCCATCAACTTTTCTATTCACTTTGAGGTAGTACTTCCTATTGCAGCCCTATTTTCTCTTCTTGATTGGTGTTTTGTGGCCTTTTGCTATCTCCTTGCCTCCATACTCATTGCAGGAAGAGGAGGAGGAGGAAGAAATGAGAAGCAACTCTTACAAACTCAACTGTTAGGTGAAGAAATGCTCTCAGTTGAAGGAAAGGCTGCAAAAGCTCAGGGAAGAGGGACAGTGGCACCTTTAATACAGCCAGAGCTGCCAGCTCCTTTCCTTGAGTCTACCTGGATCCTCTAGAGCGGTTCCATTAGAGACACTTGGACTTGATGATCTTAAAGATCTTTTCCAACCTAAATGATTCTAAGTGGTTCAAACACATGCTGCAAGAGAAGGATGGCAGCAGGGGTTTGTCACAAATGTTAGTGACCGTGGGCAGAGCAAAGAATGCATCAAACTGCTGCTGTTGGAGCAGGTTAAGATTTCAGCTCACGCCTTCTTCACCTTAAGTTAATTTGCCTTCCTTTGCTCTCCCCAACAGCATCAACACCACAGCACCCCGAGGCTGGCAGTGAATAGGTGAGGCTAAGTCCTATACTGGATACAAAGCTCTGCTCCTTAGCAATTCTTTCTCTTCTCTGGACTTCTGCCCTTGTCTTCGCAAGATAGCCAAGACCCTGACTTTGGTGAGGGTAAAAAAGGAAATCAATCAGAAACACAATCTAATTACTACAGGAAGGAGACATTTCAATTACACTACACAGAACTAGAGCCCCAAAAAGCTGCACTTACCAAAGAAACAAAACAAATCTTACTCTTCAGGAAAAGCAAAACTAGCAGTATTTTCTAATAAGCATATGAAAAAATTAACAAGCTCACTTTACAAGCCTCCTCACATTGCATGGCCATACTCCTACCAGCTGCAACCAAAATCACAAGCAGCTAAAGTGGTATCCACTGGCCACTATGCCATCAGAAAGCTGTTTTCATGGTCATTATCTCACAGTTGGGAAGTATCTCAGCAATCAAGTGTGAGAAAAAGACAATCCAATACTACATGGAAAATATTTTAAGCTGTGAACTCAAGAGTCAGATAACACTCTCTATCAAAATAACTCCAACATTTGAAAAAATATTTCTTTAACCCAATCTTACAAAAATGAACACAGAGTAATATTTGGTAAATAGTTTGAGATATAGAGAACAAAGTGTCAACAACCCTACACTACATGCATTTTTTCAACTTTTGAATCTTTCAGTCTTTAACTTCAGCCTTCAGGGATGTAAGAGAAAGGCTGCTACCTCTCCAATGAAAACCAGTAGAGTATGAGATCTGAAACTAGTTTGCCTAGAAAAGGTAAATCAGTGAAAATGAATTTTTAATTCACAATCAAATTAATGCTTTCAGAATACTTTTAAGTTTACTATTTTTTTAAAATCAAACTCCTCTTTAGCAGCAGGGGATATGTTTGGGATATATTTACTTTCTTCTGACTCATAGCTAATATTCTTCTCTCTCAATACACCTACATACATACAATCACATGCATATTTTAAACAGGTAATGTTGCCCATGTAAACAGTTATGTCTCAGGAGAGGGTGCACTTGAAAACAGTCCTTCCTTGCACTGCTGTAAAATGCCCTTTATTTTTATTTTGTCCTGTTTTAAGGCAACATTGTTGAAAACGCTCAAGGAAATTGAGTTTCTATCTACAATGGTTCTTCTCATCTACCTGGATACCTGCCTTTCTTTGACTACATGTATATCTCACTGTAAGATGAGTTACTTGCTCTGTAGTAGCTACTGATGCAATTATTCTTCCCCCTACTTGCAGAAATACAAATGTAACATAGGTAAGAGGATGAAAAATAGCGGCACCCTCTTCAAACATCTATTCTCCTTTTTAACACAAGATATGAAGGAACTATTGTCTAAAGAGTATTCAGAGCACTTCTGCAATAAAATCTTTGTCTGCTAGAAAAGAGATTTGAAGTAAAAGTTCAAACGGTTTACCAGCTGTCGGTATTTTTCTGCCAGCAACACTCTGCTTGTGACTGCTGAAGTATGGACTACCTAACAGAGTGGCTTATGAGAGGAAGAAAAGTTTATCACACCTTCACCAATTCTACAGTTGCCTTGGAACTTGTTACCAAAAAACCACAGAACTCCCCACATCTGCGTTCCTACAATCTCCCTGTGTACAGCAGCATGCTCTAAATCCACGAGATCTTTATTTTCTTCCCCATTTGCACAAAATCACTGAGCCGGGCTTTTTTTTTTCCAGACAAAAACACACAACAAGAAGTACCACACAGTCCATGCTGCAGATATCTTCACATGAGACCTGCAGAGGGGAGGGATGAAAAAACTACTGCAAGGCTCTTGCACTGAAAACGAAACAAGATCCACGGTCGTAAAGGGAGAAGCTGACGTTCAAATACACGAGCCTTTCTTTTTACCCACCGCTTAGAATCTGTTGCACTGCTTCATTTCCCATCTGCGCCGCTGTGAAGCCTTGTAACGAGATGATGGAGGGATCGGAGCCGTAATTCAGCAGGAGCCGGCAGGTTTGCAAGTGACCTGCTAAGGCAGCCCTGTGCAACGCTGTTTGACCAAGTGTGTCCAGTGCATTCATCTGAAAAATCAGCAGCAACACAAAAGATTGTTACAATTAAAAGTCTGCACCTGCCCCCGCCCTTAATAAGAAGAGCAATAACGAGAATTTTCCAGAATACAAATTTATCTCTCAATCCCTCTGCATTTGCAGCTAAAGGAAACCAAACGACAAAACAGGCAAACACTACAATGTAAAGATAATTTACCACAGATGCTTTCCTGTCTTTTAACAATGCAGGTTATTTGTTTGCGTGGCTAACAGATGACACAGGATCCCCAAAATCATACTTAAAACAGCAATCAAGCTTTTGACAAATTTTATGAAGATCAACCTTATGCAAGAAAAGCAAAATTCTCAGAGAAGAAGAGAAAGAGGTAAATAATTAACCAAACAATTCAATGATCTTCCAGCTTTAAGGAAATTACCATCTGTCATCCTCAGAAAGGGAATTAACATTACTCACTACCAAGAATTGAAGCCAAACAAGGATGTCAGATTAGGAATTCTATGAAGGAGTGGGGAAGGGGGGGTGGGTTGGGAAGGAGGCTGGATACAAACAGTCCATTTCCTCCTCACTTTTTGTACTTTCACAGAAATTTTAAGTATAACTGGATATAATTCTACTCAATACAAAACCGTATAAATAGGCAAAATGGAGTATTGCTTTCAAAGAGTATGATATAATGGAAACCTATCTGTCTGTCAAGATCTAAGAGTATCTAAATAACTGGAAGCATCTCCACGGGTTCACTATCAGAAAAAGCAAGAGAATAATAGAGAGCTATAGAAATAGAAAGCAGAGAAAAAACCTCATGAAAATAACCTTTCAAGAAGATACTTTGTACCTAGCAGCAATTCATGACAAATTTAAATGCAAATGTCCAACAGCTTTTTTACCACTTTATGAAATACAGAACTGCTCTATATTCTCTGCAGGCAGCTCAGAACCTGCTATCTGTTTCCAAGCCTAAGGACTGCAGGCTGTGAACTGCATACGTAATGTTACTCTGTTACTGCAAAAACCCCACCTTTTTACCTTCTCAAAATTTTTGTGGTGACAGTGAACAAAGGTTTTGCTTGTTACTTCTCACCTAAAATGCAGCCTGCAAATCCTACTACCTTTCCGTGAAAATTAATGAAAAAACATTTTGAGAAGACATGTATTCTATAACTAAATGAAATTCAATTAGGTGGGGTAACTATATAGAAAATATATACTACCAAATAGGGTAAAAAATTAAGTAAAATACCTGCAATATAACAATATCAAGCCACAGGAAAGAGCAAAGAACTACCCCATAAATAAAGTGGAACGCAATTCGATATTGGCTGAAATTCTTCTATATCCCTGAACAATTCTATAGACTGATAATGCAGAAATTTCTCAGATCACAAACCTTTCTTGCAGGAAGGTATACAGGAGAACACTTCTGCTTTCTTCTAACCGTGCTCAGCTCATGCCACTCTAATGGGATTTCCCTAAAAGTTTTGTTTTAAATAAAAACTCACTGCTATCATAAATATTAACTAGATGCTGAATGTCCCAAATCCATCGTTTTGTTCAGATGATGATCCTCATCTGTTTCAGGACACCGGATACCTTTCACCACTGATAAGGGCATGGAGAAAAGAAGTCTGGGACTATGCAGGTTTAGCGATACTGAAGGCAGAAACAAATGAGACTTGTGGATTCTGGAAGAAGCTGATAACACTCTGTTTACCCAAGAAAGAGCATCATAACCAATGCCTCCTGTAACACTGAATTCCTGTGTTAAACACGCCCATACCAAATAAAATGTTGAAGAACAGCAACAAGGCATTCACACTGCACAATTCGATACTGACTGTGTACCTGGAAAAAATGTTAATATTCATTTGAAAAGAACACTGGCAGAGTCATCAGATCCATCATCTCATATGTCTTATGCAGGTCTCCTTTCACCCCCAAATCATTATCTTTGCCAACAATCGATTCTTGTGGCAGAAGAACACCAGCCATTTGAAGAAATGCCTGCTTACTTCTGGGATATAGAAGGCTGCAGCTGACAGAGGGATGCATGCACCAAATGAAGATGTTCTTTCCCTCAGGAGCAGAATTAGGCTGTGAAGGGCAATTTCATGGGGAATATGTTCACTTTGAGACAGATCTGCTCTCACCAATCATGCAGCACTTGTCCAAAACCAACCCAATAACATACTGCACTAAGGCTGAAAGCAACAGGATTTATTTCCAAATGAAAATCAATTTGAGCATTACAAACTGAAATACAAACCGAGATTAAACTCATAAAAAACAAACCTGGTAAGACATATGCCTGGGTTAACCACTGCTCGGTACTAGATCTAAAAACGTGCCCTTTCAAATTCAAAGCTGAAGTTTGAACTCTGTTTGACAAAATGTAAAATACCGAAGATGTACTGCCTTACTTGTGTGCCAAGAGAAAGGAATATTGTTCCAGCTGCACTAATTATAAAAATGAGAAATATTCAACTAGCCCCCTTTATAAGCAGTCTGAAATTAGAAGGCAGCTCTGAATCACTTTACAGACAAGCTTCCTGCAAGGAGTTAAAAGTGACAGATTTGACAGGTTTTATTCCACAGCACACTGGCTCTGGCTTCTTCACCTCTCAGTATGAAAGCAATCACACCACTGCTCAAATTGGAACATAAAAGCGAAATACAGTTATCAAATGAAAAATGTTTTCAGGTAAGGCTCCTATACAGTATTTCCCAATGCAGAATTCCTTCTGTTTTTCCCTTTTATCCTTTTAATTTCCTTTTAATCCCCATCCTGGATAGATGCTGTAGAGAAATTGAAATGGTCATGTATCATCAGACACTGAAGAGATTTTTCCCTCCCTGCACTGCTGCTGTCTTGGAGTGCACACAGCGACAGCAATATTCCCTTGGCTGCCAGGAACTCGTGGCAGCTCAACAGCTGGGGCCTGTTCAGGAAACTTTTTTTTTGCAAGGCTTCATAAGCATATCAGCTTTCTGTCAGCATCAAATGCCCTAAATATCTTCCTACTCTTTGACACTACAGCAGCAAAAAAGCACTTCAACACTGCAACAGCTTCCAAGCACTGCAACTGTGTCTGTGAGATCTTTCTAGAAGATGCACATTCTACAAATCACACATGGAACTTGTGCCTTCCAGCAGCTCCAGTGCCACGGTACCCTTCCCTGCAACGCAACTGCTCTAACTGCTCTCCTGATGCACTTCTTCTGAAGACAACTTGCTGGGTGTTCTGTGTCTTTGTGCATCACTAATAATAAAGAGGATAGGAGTGAAGAGGCACTGGTGGCACTGGTGGCAATTTCAAGTGCTGTCAGAAGAAAAAAAAATGGAAGAAAAAGAAAAAAAGGTCTAGTTTCACCCTGAAAGCTCCTACATGATCCAGCCATATGTTCCACAGTCGTCCCCTTGCATAAAAGCTTAAGACTAATTTTAAATGTCTAAGCAATGAGAAAAGTTGAACCACGTAATTGCAACAGATCACACAGTTCTTCACGTTGCTAACCATCATATAACCTGCTGCATTTCCGAAAGGAAACTTACTTTTTCAATGTTTAGTCTTTCCTGAGACTGAAACGTTGGAAGCAAACATACTACACAACAGGGTTATTCAAAACAAACAAACTTAAGTATGTTCTTTGTATCTAGGTAGATGGTGATTGTTTTCAAATCCATGATCATGAAAGGCTGGCAACATACCACTCTAAAGCACAGAAAGAACTGTATTACACAAAGATCCATCAAGCAAGATCCTTCTAGCAGAGCAGAATGAAACCATTTCTGCTACCATCACGAATAGCGACACTATCCGTCTAACATGACCTGAGAAAGGCTCATTTTCTCTTGCAGAAGAATAGTTTCAACAGTATCCTTTAGAAACAGAATACAGTTAAAGAAATAGCATTCATGACATCTCTACACTTGCCCAAGACACCAGTGAACTTGTATGCTTGCAGGTCTTTCTTTCCAACAATCATTCCAGTTCAGAAAAGAATTTAATACTTTTCTTCTGCACTGCTAGAAAGCTGAATGTCTTTCTGAACATATTAAGTTTCCCATGTATCTGTAAATTCAGACAAGAACCTAGTTATAAAAAGTATTCAACTACCTAGCAACACAACAAAACAGGATGAAAGCCACTTTTTCATTAATCTACTACCTTCAAATTATTTTCTTTTTAAACAAAAGGGTTTCAACCATCTTCAAAGATACAATCGTTGCACTTGAAGATCTGCTTATGGGTCTAATAAAAAAAAGTTCATGTTTGAGGATTCTTTAAAGATGCTCTGATTTTATTTTTCATAAGGTACTTTGAGGATATTCAACATCAAATAAGCAGTGGTGTGAAATGCTGTTTCACACTGCAGTTGAGGCAAACAAGTGAAAACTAGGTATGGCATTTAAAACCACAGACACTTAAGACCAACATTCTTGAAGAAAACTCTAAGAAACCCCAAGGTTTCTTAGCTGTGCTTTAGATGTACAGTTGACAGTCAACTTCTGCAAACTGAAGGAACAAGCTGATGAAAATATCTTCACTGACCATGGAATGGTATTGCTTAGACATAACACACTGATGTGCAAGTGATGTGCACCAAGGACAACTTCACAGCTCAAATTACAAATCTAGTCTGTGTTGTCAGTAAGAGCCAGCAAGACACACCAAAATAAGTAATTTGTGGGCACAGGTTGACTCTTGCCAATACTAATGTTCTTAGAAATATTTCCGTAAATTACATCTAGATCAAGCATATGTTATTCAAGTGGTCCTTCATTTTTTATTATCACCTAACATATTTCAAGCAGCAATTGTACACAGTGACAAAATTAAGGATAATTAAATAATAATAATTAAATCCAGCTCCAAGACCACGAATATCCCAAGCAAATTCCCTAAAGGAGTCTTTACCATGCTTCAGTCCATTTTGCAAAACAAGAAAAGCCTACTCAGTCATACTTCACATTATTTCACTTTCACTGTCTGACAGATCACAGCTGCTCCTCATGAAAACAGCAGTTTCCTCTCTATTGCTAAAACAATCACAAATTATTTTCAATCTACAAAACTTTACATGATTTTGTCTCCTAAATCCATTACTGGATGTTTTTCTGTGGGCCAGCTGTCTGCCTTTTGGCACTGTATTCCAGAAGAAAGTTCCACTTTCTTTGAAGCCCCAGTTACTCATCTTTTTCAAATTGTTACTCTCTCTATAATCAGTAGTGGTTTCCAGAAAGTCGATTAAAGCTGACTTATGCAGTACCTTTCCTTTGATAGAAGAAATGATTGCAATATGGTAGGTCTCATCCATCCACGCTTCAGTAAGTATTTGATATGGGATCACATGGGAAATTTTTATTTATTTTTTATGGAAAAATAGAGATTGGTTGAAGAACTGAATGTAGGGGAAGACAGCTCTGTGACAGGTTGTGGGAAAATTTTGTTTTAATATTTTCATTAATGATCTTGGCATACTGAGAATCACATCAAAGGGCACAAATATGAAAAATTAGCATGGGGAAAAACCCAAAATAATAATAAAAAAAATAAAATTGAGATTCTCTTAGTACTAAAAGACTACAGGAAGGGTCTGAGTACCACTATTTCATATCTATTAATAAGGCAAATATGATCCACTATGCATTAGTCCAGCATTTACATTAGAGCTATGGAAGCGCCATCATGTAATGAATTCCATTCTCGTTGCCCAAGCTCCCAGATTTCCTCTGGTGCTAGTAAAGAGAAGGGTTATAAGGATCATTAGGAAGTGGCAATGTTCCCTTATGAGGGCAGACTAAGTGTCTGAGGCATTTAGCCTCTGAAAATAAAGGCTAAGAAGAACCTGCTCGCTGCAAGTATCTCAGCAAAGGAAGCATCAAAACAGAAAAGAGGTATTTAAACTGCAGGAGAGAGCTGTTCCAAGAACAAATGGATATTCACTGTGAAGGTGTTATTGTGGGCAGACTAGATTCACTAGTTCGTGAAAACCCTCTCTTGTAAAAAATACAACTAGACAGAATCAAAGAACTTAGTACATCTGAGTACATCTTATGAAGTAACTAAAATTCAAGGCACAGAAAGAGGAAACAGGAGAAAAAGCTTCTAGAAACACAACAAATGGGAAAAAAATAATCAAAAACCTCTATCATGCTTCAGGCATTAAAGCTGCCATGTCCCAACAATCAGAAACAAATATATATAAACGTTAAGAGTGTCTGATAAACTGACTGCCTACAGTAAAAGTATGAACTAGAGGTCAAGTGATAATATACAAGCAAGACAAACATATTAGAGTCATTAAATAAGCCTAGTTAACTAATTAATACTCTAGAGCATATCCCATCTGGGAACTTCAAAGTGCTTCATAAGCCTTAATGACCTACCTCTCATGAAAAACCATGATTACATTATGTACCGTTTTACAGCCAAGGAACTTCGGACACCGATAAAAAGGGACACGATCTATTGCAGTACGGAAATATAGGCTTAATATTAACTATGAGTGGTCTCCTGCCATGAACTTAGGTGCTTTGCTACATCGTAAATGTGAATGGCTATCCTCAGAATAACACAGCAAGCATACACCAGGATATGAATGAAGAATGAGTTTCAAAGACCACCAATGTACCTCTATTTGCATCCTGTCAATGGAAAAAACAACAGAACACACTACTCAGCATGGTTCTGCAGGTCCACTCACCACCATCACTCAGTCCACAAGTGACTCATGGATCATAATTTAGGAACCCCTGTTTCAGGACAGAAAGGAATTAAAAGCCACCATCAGAATGTGCTACTGACACAAACAATAAATCGAGCCATTCCAGTAAGGATGATGTCTTTGAGCTTACTTGCCTACACAGAGCCTGATTTTCAAGGGAGCACAAATTTACATACCTACAGTACAGTAGCAGGCTTTTCAGAAACCCTCAGCACACGGGAGCTCATTGTATTTCAAAGCAAATAGTACTTGGGTATCAATACACTTGAAACTCCAGCATGTCCAGTTCAGTGCCTACCCAAGAACACCAGTACTGAATTCACATGCACAATCAGATCCATAAAGCCATGAGCTATCTACGGCTATGGCAAAATGAATTTTTTTCACTTTCAGTGCACAGGTAGGCTAGTAAGAGTGACTCTGGGAAAATGACAATGAATCATTTAAATGACCATAACTGAGACCTCTGGCCCTGCTTCCCACCCTGGGAAAATCTTGGTACGTCACCATGGCATCAGGATTTTCAAGTAAGATAAACTTCGTCATGGTATTGTTGTTAAGCTATTTTATGATGCCATTAAAGTCCTATGGAAGTGAATCAGATACTGAAATCTGGCAATGAACTCTCATAACGGTTTATGAATTCCATTTCATTCAAAATAAGAAGACTCAGTATTAACTATGGAGACAATTACATTGCTTGCATCTCCCAGCACGTCAAGTGGTAACACTACATTGCTATTACAGGTGTATTTCTTCATTTCTAGCTACCTGATTGAAGATGAAGACTCAGAATAATGTGAGACCCCTTAACAGAAAGAACAAGGAGATCATTTTTATTTTAAACAATGCAAAGAAAGTACCCATCAAGAAGAGTTTCTGAGAAAATTAAGTACCTAAGCATATCATTACCATGAACATCAAGTTTGCTGCTAAAACTCGAAGAAATACAATTCTGTAATACTTCTGAAAGATGCTTAAGAGACATCCTAAATAAATAAAGTTATACTTTCCTCTGCCTTTAATTAATAACTTGCTCAACCACATGTTTCTACGCAAACTTCACCATAGACTCACAAATTTGGTCAGCACCTATCAATGGCTGAAGGGCACGGCAAAACAATCTGACCAAGAGAATAAGAAACAAGCAAGAGCTAAGGGATGCCCAGCATTAGACTGCTAAACTCAGTGTCAGCAAACTCAGACATTGGGTATTGTCAAGCCAACAAAATAAAGCAAGAAGAGGCACCCAAATGACCACATTTATTAGAAATGAGTAGCAAGATTCATTAAAAATGAGTAAGCTAGACTCCTAAAAAGCCTGTATTCAGTTACTTGGGAGTGAAGACCTCATTTTCAAATAGGATTCCTGAACATCCTGTACTGATTTAAGATAAACACGCTTCAAGGTTAACAGGAGAAGCACAAGGTAACAATTATCATAAAAACTAACACTGTATTTAACTAATATAACTCTTTTTCTTGCCTTTTGCCTTAAATAAAATATATTTAAGTAAATTTACCTTTGCTCCATGTTTATGCAGAACTTCCATGACATCATTATGAGCTTTTTCAGCTGCAACATGTAAAGGTGTCATGAAACTAGAAGAAAAAAAAAAAAAATTAGTTTTACATTCCTAGTATGACGACGTCTTTTGGAAAATTAAAAAATTTCAGAAACCTACTCTTTGTTTTTCTCATTAACATTTGCTCCTTTCCTGAGCAATAGTTCTGTAACTTGCTTCCGTTTGGGATGCACGGCAGCCACAGCACAGTGCTGCAAAAAAGTAAATACAAATTATATTTCAACTACACAGATGACAAAGAGCTTTAAGATCCATGACTTCATCTCTTATTCTGCTAAACATCAGACTACAAAATTTACAAGCAGACTCCATCGTATTTTTGCCAAAACATATAACATACTGAACAAAATACAAGCTAGTGATCAATGCTAAATTATTCTACTCGGAAAAACAATTTTCATTTTAAAGCTATTTGTCACTAACAAAAAAAGGTGGTATGTTCCCAACTACATTAACAAGGTATCAGGGCAAAACCAGCGCATAATGCATAAAGGAGGTAGAACCCTTGTGGGAACAGCTACAGCCCTTTCCCATGTGTAACAACTCTCCTGATTGCAGCTGGGGTTTGCTTGTTGATTTGTCTGCATTTGGCACCCAGAAGCAAGCGCTTTGTTCCTCCCTTTTTTTCTTCAAATCTCTGCAGAGACTAGACTCAATCTGTCCTGACATTTTCAACAGTGGCCCTATCAATGCATTCCTGAGGCCTGTAATTACAAGTAGGGTTCCTGATAAGCTAAAACCATGCTTTAAAATCAGTCCAGAAATGCTTTTATCAAGTATGGATGCCTCAAGATAGCAGAACATGAGAAATAGGAGATACTTTTGAGTAATTTTATGTTTACCCCAGTAACCTGTAAAAAGCTGACAGTCTGCTGGAAGGCAGTTCTCAATTTCCAATAGCAAAACAATAGCCTTTTACAACGACACAGACCCCAAACAGAACATTAATAAGCAGCAATAGCCATCTTTCGCCCAGTTCCAGCCTTTGCTATGAAGTAACTGCCACTCAAGCTTCCACACTGCTGTTGTCAGCAGAGCATGTCCAAGTTCTGCAAAGGCAAGCTTTGTAAATAAACATTAAGATCAGCTTTTGCTCTGAAAAGGGGCAATATTTTTGAGGCTTTGCAGATAATATCATATGGGTGAGAAATACAAATAGGTTAAAACACCACTAAGAGCAACACAAACGCTGAATTATTGGTAAACCTCAGGGCAACACTGAAGCATAAACCAGGTGCTGGCTTTAGCCTTTGTGGGACAATAGACCCCAGTGCCCCATGGTAACAGATACCATATTTAGGACTGGAATAGCTAATTTAGGTTGCAGGTAAACTTATCTGACCCTGGAAGTTAAGCCTTGCCACTTCGATGGGAGACCATTTTGAAATCTCAAGTACGGGAAGCAAAAACTGAGAAATCACAAACACTTACTGAACAGTGAACCAAAGAGTTCAATAGAGCTAAAATACCCTATTTTGCCTAGCTGTCTCTGCAGAAAAGCAGGTGGAAAAGAGCAAAGAACACCACAGGATTACAAAGTGAACATTACACAGCTAAACAGATGCCACGTATCAGCCAATGACACGCTCAGGAAAGAAAGGATAACATCCCAAATTTCCTACTCCCTTCACGGTCTAAAATATCTCTAAATATCTCTTCTCTGTCTTGCTTCTAAGTTCAGGCTAAGATGATGAGTCCTCCATAGAGCAAACAGAGCATATGGATGCTTATTAGTCAAAACACAATGTTCTGATCACCATCCCAATGTTTATAACTCTGAATACACAGTTGTATGCCTGCAGCAGAGACCTACCACTGTGAAGAAAATGTTCCACTGGAATAAAGTATCATAGCTGTAATGGTTCCTAGTAATAGGGTTGGTCCCACTCCAAGATTTTCACTGCATCTGGGATACTGGCTGTGTTCTTTGCCTCCACTGCTTCTTCAAACAATGAAATAAGGGGACGATACTACCAAGAAAGTCTCAAAGACACCTGCTTCCATAGCTAATGTGGTATTCTCAGTACTATTCTAATCCTGTAAGGGCCTGTGATATATACCTAGTGTCTATTTTCACCAGAATTTTACACATCCTAGAAAGAAAATTTGTAATCCAAGTCTGCCCACATAAAACGTCAAGGAAGCAGTGGGCCACTGAATAGAATTTAACCCCAGAAAAAAGATAGCAACTGACCAACAAAACAAAACCAAAGAAAAATAGTGATGGGGAAAAAAAGGAGCAGAGAAGTGAAAAATGAAGAGGAGAGGAGTGGTCAGAGGGCTTCTGTAATTCACCAGGAAAAACAGTAATAAAAAAATTACACGTGGTGTAATGGTGATCTAATTTTTATATAGAAAGTGTTTGACGGCAAATCCTCAATCTCAGATGATGAATACATTTTCATAATGTAGAAGTAAAACTCCCCAACTAGCACTACCACCACATTTATCACACAACAAATGGATTGACCGTATAATCTCACCAGTGCAGTCTCATGCGACTGTGGCTGCTTAAAATTAATGATCTCCAAAGCAAGAGTCTTTTTCACTTTGGCTAGGTCTGCCTCTCTGGCTGCTTGCAGTAAAGAGTGTCCTTTGAATTCGTCTGTTAGAGGAAAAAAGATGCATTTAATAATCAGCAACACGTCTCATTTATAAATGTTATTGGAAAAAGGTAGCTACACTCAAGAGGAAATCAGAGTATTTCTGTACATCTTCAGATAGTGGTAACATGGGACACAGAACATGAAATATGGTCTACTGAAATGAAAGGGACATTCTAAAGGAAAGGCGAAGTGATTTCTTGAGTAAGATCCTTATAGCTTTTCTCTCCCTTTTCCTCCAGCCACTTAATACTAAATGCATACACAACCTCTAAATTACTTACATGTTCAAGTGAGCACAATGCTATTTACATGCTCTCCAGAAAAAAAGCATTACAATTGCTTTTCAAAAAACTCATTCTATTTACACCTACACATAATTCAAAGTAAAGCTGAACACTTAATTTAAATATAAAATATTAAACTTTTGGTCTTAAAGTTATCCCTGTAAGCATTTGAAGCCACTCTGCTACAAAGATGAAACAGGTTTAGGTAGCAGCTATATCTTTGCAAGTACAGAGACGTAATTCTGTTATTTTCAGTACTACTTCTTGATCAGTTCAGCAACTGTTCTTGTAATTTTAAATACTTTTGAATTTGAAGAGGACTAAAAGTGTTTCTCTTAAACTGTACAAATGAAAGCTGGGTTAGCAAGAATGACATCTGAACCTGGGAACTAGGAAAAAAAGCTCAACAGTCTCAGTAAAAATACCAGCATTTTTCCTTCATAAGCAAGCTTGAACACTAAGCTTGTTAGGAGGGGCTTTCTTCTCCCACCCTTGTTTTAACATGTGGTGCATTTTTGGATTTAGAAATAAAAATAAATGTAATAAGTTCCAAGTTTTCATTTCAAATAGAATTCAATTTTCTTTGTAAATGAAGCATTACACAAAGGAGAACTACAAATAAATCTTGAAATAATAAATATATGTAATACTATTCCTAAAGTATAAAACCAAAGAATTCAAGAATATAAGCATGCTATTATAGGCATGCAACTACAGGATGATCCATCAAGATACTGTCAAATTTGGCATAAGGCTCAGATAGGTGTACACACTTCAATGGATATTAAGCGACATGAAACCATGCCTGCTTCCCTCTAGGAACTATAAATAAAGAAATAAACCAAAGTTAAAAATAGATTTTTTTCGCTTCAAAGTCAGAAGCATCTCCCAAGTTAGCCTAGAACGGAGACTACAGAAGTAGCTAAAAAATATTAACGGTCTCCTCTTTTCTCCTTGAGCAAAGTTTCCTGCTGCACATGATCTCACCACCTTCCCATGCAAAGAACAGTGACAGATGAGAACCTGACTGCCTGTGCCTGAGTAGTCCAGGATCACACTCAGTGTGTCAGGGGACTTCTGCTATATTGGAAAGGTAACAGACAAAACCAAAAGCTTATTTATAATTGAGCTCAGAATCTACTTCTCAGGAAGGAGTTTTCTATAACTTCATAATGCTTTGTTTCCATATTTGTCTCATTTAATTGTCTTTTACAGTTACCATAATGAGAAAACAAATCCCCAAAAGGGGGCAAATTAAAATTAGAGCGGAAACATTGTTTTGTAAACAGCATAAGGACTGCGAAGACTAGTAACAGAGGGTGCTGGAATTTCCGTCTCTTCAATTTTGCACATCAAAGCTACTTACCTTCTGGAAGTTACTCTTGAAGTGTGATATACAGAGCCTCAGTGCAGAGGCTTATGTGACTTAACTGGACTTTAAGCATAAAAACCTCCCACAGTCACCGATTCAGCAGTGCCTTAAACATTTTAAATCTGAGAAAATCAGACATTATTACGAACAGTGTAACAGAGGTGTCTGCGTATTTCAAAGTGAGAGGCAGAGCTGCCGTGCATCTCCTGGCCTGAAAGGAAATCACCCCTTTACACCTACCAAAAACTGCTTCCAGCCTGAAAACACTTACAGGTCAGTCTCTCCCTGAGCTCAGGCGTTGGAGCCATATCGACCGCGCTCTTGCCGTGGCAGTTGACTAAGGTGGGATCCGCGCCGTGGCTCAGCAGGAGGGAGCAGACCTCTACGCGGTTCTTGGAAGCCGCCTCGTGCAAGGGGGTGAATTGCCAGAGGTCCATAGCATTCACACAGGCACCGTGCTAGCACAGCAGAGAAAGCCTCAGGTTAGTAAGAAATCATCACCGACAACTGAAAGCTTACAGATTTTCATTTCGTTATCAAAACTGGTTCCATTTTTTTTCCATGCGTGAACACATACACAAAAAATAATTACAAAAATACTGTTGAATCCTCAAAAAAAAATTCTGTATGAGCTAGTTTTTCAGTAGAACGGATTTCTCCACAGAAAAATTCAAATCAATGAAACACTACTATCTGTCCAAAGAAATTAGGTGGGGAAAAACACCCACATATACTGTACCACAGAAAAGCCTAAAGTTACAGGCTTCCAAAATGACATACAGGATGACTGAAACCTCTTACTACAAAAAAAACCAACAAACAGTTCATATCTCACCTAACACACCTAACTCTATAATAATTGCTTTCCATCTTCCTGCTTACCTTCAGCAGCAGCTCTGTAACCTCATAGTGTCCATATGAACATGCGTTATGAAGAGGCACAAGACCACTGTATGAAAGAAAGCAAGTGACAAATTTATTTAAGCAGCATTTTTAGAGTTGGCATAACATTTTTCTCTCTACTGAGAGATGAACAGAAATAGAATTACATGTAAAATATTTAAATATTCAAATATTTGAAAATTAAGATTAACAAACTAAAGGAAAAATCTAACCTTCCCAAACAACATGTTACTTAGAGTAGCATTAAAATGTGGTTGGTTTTTTTTTTAATTTGGTCCTAACAAGCCACAGATGTTTAATCTACCAGTAAGATTAGCATTAATTGGCTTTGAAGTGATTTTTCTTTAGCCTATTAAGGGCAGGAAAAGTCCCATTCCACATTTATTTTGCTCAAGAGAAGCCAGTCTTCTGTTTCTGCCTGTTTATATAAAATGTTACATGAAAGGCAGAACTCCCCAGACAATGCTAACATAACTCCTAGGTATATTATGATACAAATATCCACAGAAAGTAGACTGAAATTGCACATCCAAACTGTGGAATGACCTGATCTTTCTCCATCTTTTACAGCATAACCTATTTAACTGTGCAAGATACTTATAAGAGAGTCCCTGTAATTTTTGTACAGCTATATTACTGGAGGCCATACTTAAAAATGACACTAGCAAAGTAATTAACAGGGATCTAGTCATAAGCACAAAACATAATAAAAAAGTCATGCGTTGAAAGGGAGATGCAAAGTGGACAATTATTACAAAGGACAAATGAATTTAATTCAAGCCAAGCAAGACAGGCTAGTTACGGCTCAACAAATCAGGATGCATAATACACTGAAACCAATAATTAACCCTTCACCATTTATGAAAAATACGGGGGATGTTTCCTGGAATTGCAAAACCAACTCAAGGAGCATTGGGACGGCAAGCGCTAGATTAGAGGGTAAACTTAATTTTAAGGTAGATGCTCTCAGAAGCAGCATTGTACTTGTCACAATTTGTTCTGGCAAAATTTTTCAAACTGTTATTTTCCATCGCTGCTTTTCTTAATTGCAACGTATGGGTACATGTGTGAGACAGAAAGAGTGCATCCAGTCCACAGGGCACTAAAACACCCTGCCTTCTTCCAAAATGATTGTCTTATAAGAGGACTGAGGCCTCCAAGGTCTCGTCAGCAAAGACAGCCAACGCAGCAATCCACCTGCCCACTTCTGCAGCACACCCTCCCCTTTTCTTTACCAGCACATAGTGCAAAATAGCAGTAAGGCAAAGAACCAGTGGAAAAAGAGCTGCTTCCTTGGCTGTGGTCCTCTTTGGGACTAACAAGAAGTGATGTCCATTTTGAAGATGTGTCACGGTTCCCCGGGACTCTCTGAAGTGACCCCATTGAAGAGAATCTAACAGGTCTATAAAATCAATGTAACTTAATTTAGCTCCAGTAATGATAAATAACATTTATTTATAGCCTATTTACTTATAAATGATGTACAAATAAGAAGCAGTAAGAAAAAACAAAAGAGCACACTGACTGTAAATGCATAGTGCTTACTGGGCTATGAGACATTTTAAGTATGTTTGTTTTTAAGTTTAATGCAAAGTAAGTGCACCACTTTTCTTTTCTCTCTTATGTTTTCTCTATCCCCTCCCTGGACATCCCTCACCCCCTCCCTCAAGTTTTCTTTTCACACTTTTCATACTTTCCAAGCAGATAATTCAAATCTCATTAAAGCCTGCAGTGCATTTAAACACAGCAGTGCTTAAATTTTGGAAAGGTGTGAAATGCTTAAAACTTGCTTAACAATGCCGGATCTACCTGAATGGGTATTACATTCAGCTTTCCTCTGGGTTTTTTTTGACTTATACAATCAGTCATCATACATTTCATAACACTTCTGATCAAAAAAGGACATTAAGGGTGAATGTATGGACAAATGCACTACAACCAATCTTCAAGAGTTTAAGTATGCTTGGGACTGGTTTTGGACAGAAAAAGAAGAAAAAAAAAGCTAAGATCTTAATTTAAAACCTCTTTTAACACTAGGCTGGCCTCAGCAGAAATTGAAGATATAGAAAGTGCCTCAGGTTTGCTGATGAAGACAGAACACACACTCATTAACATCTTACCTCTATGGACTCTAAACATAAAATGCATGCCTTTAACCAGGGACCCAATTTCTAAAATGTTAGGACTAAGCATTCCTGTCAGAGCACCATGAGAATCATCACCTTAGAGTTCAGAAACTTATGGCTGAGAACAATGTAAAACACGTATCGTTCCAGATTTCTGACTGCTGTGCACTTTTTGTTGGTGTCTTACATAACTACCATCCTTACTCCAAAAATACAATAGTTTAGCTTTTACTATATCTTGATTTTTGCTGGCAACATCAATCAAGACAGGTCTCTAAGGACCTGTTGTGAGCACATGAGCGTTACTGATACTACTTGGAATTACATCCATATTATGCAACAAGATAATGAGATTACAGAGAAATTTTTCAACACACATTTTTTTCACTAAGCCCATGTACCTTATCCCCATCACTTTCCCTGAAATAATGTTAGAAGACCATGATTTAACAGTGTAGTCTGTGCATGGAAGCAAAGAATAAGGTTTGGAAAAAATTTAAAGGTGTAATAGAAGACTTTAAACAAGTGCAATCACAGCTAATCTGCTATTGAGGCTCTACCAAAAGTTTATTTATGATGAACCACACTCAGATTTTGGAAGCAAATGTCGCATTCTCAGCCAACTATCTGAGATTATGCTGCAACATGAAACAGAGAAATAGCTCCTTATCTGGACTAGCACAAAACCACTGCTGCAAACAGGCAACAAGTCAATTCATTTTACGTACCCTTTATCCTTTGCGTGAACATCTGCACCATGCTGAAGCAGAAGCTGGACTATTCGAACTCTGTTGTAGCCTGCTGCTAGGTGTAAAGGAGTAGACTGCAAAGTAAAACAAAGAAAAGATGAAGAATGGGAGCCACATAAATTTGAAGTCCTGCACTTCCTGCCATTTAGGTACTCCTCATTTCTCTTACACATTGGATCAAGATAAGTTAGGCTTCCCTTCTGTGATTAGCCAAATTAACAAATACAGAGCACATAAATGCCCTTCCTGTTGTCAAACCAAATAAATTTTCCTTAAGGTAGGAAAGAATCCAGGAACCTCCTAAGGCAATAACAAGCTCATCATTTAAAGTTAATTTAAATAATGGCCCAACTTTCTTTTGTTTGGATTTCAGGGGTTTATTTTGGTTTGATTTCAGTTCTTCCGGGTTTTTTGTTTCATTTTGTTTGTTAATACTAGGATTCAATTATTTTTTAAAACACCAGAAGTTATTTTTTTTTAAATTCATAAGCAAATTTATGCAGTTCAGGCTGCATTTTCACAGGTTACACATCTGTTTGTATATATGCTTGTTGCAAAAATTGCACAAGAGGCAATCTGCAGAACATGAAATCATGTTCTGCACTTCCCATGATAGGAATGTTTATCTTCAGCTCTGCACCAAACCAGTAGTCGTACATGTCCTGTGCTGTGCTAAAATGCAGGGAGCAAACTGTATGCAGTTTGCAGTTTTCTGCAAAACGCACATCTTCAGCAGTACTGCACCTCGATGCATAATAACAGAGTAATAATAGCATCTTTCTCCACAGCTAATTCGAAAGAATTTTGAAGTTGACTACAGTAATTCCCCTTTAAGTTCATTTGAAAAGCTTTTTATTATGAAATGAGTTTTGTGTGCTTTCTCAGTCTGAAAGATCTGATTTTTACACAAATGGGTAATGTTTCCTCCTTCCCAAGGCTGAGAAGCAAGGGATTTTAAAGTGATCTTTGTAGCAATTCATTTTGTGGCGTGCAACCAAATAACACGATTTTATTACAGTAAAACCCCATATATAAACCAGCTTGAACACACGCAAAGACTTACATATCTCACAGTATCAGCCAAGCACAGATTTACTGTCAGCATTAAAAGATCGTTATACAGTATTACAGGTGAGACATCACATTCTCACTATTATCAAGAACTGAAAAACAAAAATCAAGACAAATGGTCTCATCTGTGGCAAACAGCAGCAGGTGCTATATATCCATTAATGGTATGGATTTCCAGGAATTAATACAAATTTAGTATGACCATAACTTGGAGTAGTCTGTATTATATTTTACTGTAGTCTCAACACTTTGCTACTTGGACACCTACCAAGCATCAGTGCCACAGTGAGGACACACAGGATACACTAACAGAAATGACAGCACAAGGGCATCTCTTAGAAAAACATCTGGGTAATTCCATTTACTTAGGGAAGCAGTTATGCAAGTTTCCTTAAGATTCATCTTCGGAATTATCTGTACTCAAAATAAGAACCTCTAACGTTCCTAACGTGCAGATGCCTGAATGTCTCCAAAGTACAAAATGCCACCACCAACAAAACGGGTCATATCTTTCAAGTGTTTGGCCATTCAAATCATTAGGACCTATTATTCTGTTTCAGAAAGGCTTATACTATGGAATTAACAATTCAGACTGATCCAGAGGGTATTATATTCTTTTCATATCTATCTCTGTTATAAAATAGCTGGCTTCTGCATATCATAAACACCAATGAAAATGTGGATAAAGATTAAGCCACTATCGACATTAGCAGAATGCTTCAGTACTCTTTATTTGAATATTGCCTTGGTTTGGTTACTAAATCCAGTTTTATCAACCAAATTAATAAGTCAGAAAACCCTAAAAGAATTTGAAATGGACTGAGGAAAAGTCAGTTACTGAAAGGTCTGAACTCCAGCAGAAATTGGAGCAAACATTAAATCTTTGGACCACTGCAGTACCCTTTAACCTCACTTCAATTAAACCGCATCCATTCTTGTTTGCATGCTATTTCTAAAACAACTATGGCACACTTCCAAGATGATGCTTTACTTGTATTAAGCATTATTAATAGGGATGTTCTCAATAAAGATGCATCAACCCTGGAGCCTTGTTCACTGCTTAAAATTAAATCTATTATGACTCAAGCTGGAACTGTGCATTTCGTATTTCTAGAGTTATTAGACCTGCATTTGCCAAATAACTTCACTAAAGAAGAAACCCAAAACATTTCAAGCTTATAGTTGAAAGACAAGTCACATAAACAAAACAGTGTCATCCCAAATCTTCAGACAACTTACATACAGCACTGTCTTTCAGAAAGGCGAGCTACTTATTCTCCCCAAGCAAGGCCACGCAGACACTACAGTCCCAAGAATGAACACAGAATACCACGTCTTCCCCAACACACCAGGAATTAGTTCTCCAGCTGCAGCCAGGCACCTGATGTTTGGTGTGTTTGCCTTCTGATCCACACCAGCTTCAGTGAAGCTGTGTGCCGTGCTGCAGCTGCCTCTCTGAGGAGGAGATCAATGATGCTCCCTGCACCCATCCCTGGAGATGGGGCTGATATCTCCACCTTCAACTCTGCAATTCCAAACCACATGACCTGGAGGACCACGCGGTGCTGGAGATACAGGCAGTCAGAGGGCCGGAGAGGCCACTAGAGTGAGGGGCAAGGACAACTGGGCACACACACAGGTTGTGCAGAGGTCCCTTCCAGAGGGACCCTGGAAGGCTGCTCCCCCTGCATCCAGGCCTGGCATATCAGATCCCACCAGCCAGCGTCACCAGTTGATCTTTAGGTTGGCTAAAAGGCTCCTATAAACGCTGCGCTTCCATACGCTTCAGGAAGGAGGAAGCAGGAAGGCCCTATCACAATGACTTTTTAAGGACTTACTTTCCATTGTTGTGAAAAAGAGCATTGATTTAACGTTACAGATTTATAGGGATGGGATATATGGGATTATTAGCCCTCAAAAAAAAAACCCAACCCTAAAAAAAAACTAAAAATCAAGTGAATGATGGAAGTAGAGACACTGATGTTTGAAATTAACGTGCTGTTTATATAGCACTAGAAAAGTAGAAAGCAGCTATCACAGACAGCAGTATTGTATACTGCACCTGCAAGGTATATTAAACTAGCCATTTAATATTAAGGAAAGAAATTTAATTGAGCTATCAATTAACCCCTCCTCCCATGGCTTGCAATACCTGGCAAGGGACTGACTAACAAGAATCCCTAGAGGACACTTACCTTCCAAGACTCACATTCACAGTTACCAAGCCAATCACACTGTCTTACTTGCTACTGTAATTAAAAAGAGTTTAACTCCACTTTTATTAAGTAAAGTAGACTCTCATGTGAGATGCTCACATTATTTTAAAGTTTTATGGCGGCTGTAATTGAGTCAAAGTAGGTACTGTGCATTTCAAGGAAGATCACTGTACACAAGATGGTGATCACTGTCAACCTGTATACCTACAATTTATACTAAAGCAGCTCCTTTTGCCTGCAGTCTTTTTGAAAATTTGTTGCCTGGGAATACAAGAAATGCAATTTTTAGATTTAAAAAATGTACAAACAGCAGTTGGATACTGTTTTCACTGAGCCTTAGGTATTTTCACATTGCTTTGTTGCCAACAGCTGATGTGATGATCTCTGTTCAAGGTCAGCTGCCTTGGACTTGCTGTCCCCTGTTCACCTGCATCAAACAAAAGGGGCCCCGAGGAATCTCCAGAGCTGCAGGCTGCCGAGCTGCCTCCACTTAAATCACAGAACTGGTTTCAACAAACTGTCCACAGGCAACACGGGGGTGCTGGCTCCAAGCACCATCCGTTTCCCTTCCTACCTTCCTCAAGAGTCTTCAGCAGCTCCTCGATGACAACACTGCCACAGCCACAGAAGCAAGCTGCATTTTCACATTCCAATTATGAATTGCCCATTTTATGGGCAACTTTAAACTGATGGATCTTATGTAAGGCATCTTCTATCATGCATTACCTGCATGATCAATAACAGCTGCAGGAACTGTCTTAAGAACTAATATTGCCTGTTCTTGGTTTCTACTACCAAAGTCCCCGTATAGTGCTATTTGATAACAATCTTAATCAATGTGTTTCTCTCATTCTCAAGTTGTCATCCCAAAGGCTATTAAAATCAAGAAACAACAATCCTCTTATCACATACATGATGTTTCATCATCCATCTAATTGACAACACTATACAGTAATTTAGAATTATCATCATTTAATTTCATCTTCTACAGGAAGGGCATTCTTGCAATAAAGAGGCAACACCCTGATTTTGAGAGCCAGCTCTGGCCTTGACATATTACAGCTGCTCTCGTCTTCGAAAGGTCCGCACATGGATAGGTATCAGTTCAGGTGGCTCTTACACAAACAAACAAGTATGACTTTGCAGAAGATATCTAAGGACACGCGCATGTTTATTGCTAACTCCTCTACAAAACCCTGCTGACAAAGGATGTCAAAAAAAGGAGGAATTTTAAAATGTTTCACATAGACTTTAATATGTGACTTTTCTACCTTGTCTATAATTACCTTCAGGTTTGCTAGACTTGGAGATTGCAGGTATGCATCTAACTTTTGTCAAACAAAACCTTTATTCTAAGCAGACCATACTGCCTGCAGAGAGCAGGAGCAATAAAAATAATACCTTAAGCTTTTGTAGCTTGTCTTGCAAGCTCCCTTCAAAACAGTGTTTCACCTCCTCTGAATTAAAGGAAGAAGAGAGAGGTTTCTAATTGCAGAAGAGACCTTTATTTCACAGTTTTGCATAAAACTAACTGTTTTGCAAGATGTCCTGACTCCTGGCAAGAAAACTATCTGAATCTGGCATACAAAGGAAAAACCTCTAAGCAGGCAAACAATTCTCTCTTCACTGGGTTAGAATTTATGATTGAATCTTTCTTTCCAATGGCAATAGCCTGTGTGTGCTTGATGCTGCTCTCTTACAGACTTCTCTGAAATGAACTGCATCAATCATGAGCATACACCGGGAAAACATTCCGGATGTGAGTGGAATACCTCCTGTTGCCACTT